GTCAGCTTTGACTATCCAATGAAGAGAAACTGTCATGATCCTTTTTTCCTTCTTTATAAATTGATTGTCACCAATAAAAAATGCTTTACTTTTACCTCTTGACTATTTTACACAGTGGATCAGGCTGACTTAGGAGGTTTAATTTATTTCAGCTTCTTTAACCATGCTGTGTTTTCATTGCTGACTATTTGCCAAAAAATATCCCATGGAAATTCTTTTATCTGATGACTGTGAAGTGCAGTGAGTTAGCAGTTAGTTATTTCCCTTTCTCTTAAAACAATTGTGTCAGTGGTGTAACACTGGCTTGGTGGGATGTCATCAGGCTGTAGTTTATGATGTAGCATGGGAAACTCCAACATAGTCTTGTATGATAGTTTCATATTTTAATAAAAGAATGATTTGATGAGAAGCCTGCTGAACATGTAGGGCAATGCAGGCTATAGATAAAGTAAGCTTGTGGCTTAATGAAAATTCTATCAATTTGACTAACTTTGCCGCCTTTTAATCAAAGATAGATTTAGAAGATTTTCTTTAATTCTTATTCAAATGCTTTTGTGTATTTAATGTACATAATTTCCAGCACAAAGAAGCAGTTGAAAGGGCTCTTCAGTAACACGCAAAGCTTCCTTGGTAAACATCTGAATCATCAAACAAAACGCTGTCAGTGGATGCTGTAGCCAGCTGTTATTGGCATGGGAAAATATGAATGGATGGTACTCTGATTTTATGAGGCTTTGAATACTCTATCTAGAGAGAGGAGTGAACACGCTCTTTGATTTTTCTTTTTTTCTTCTTATACTAGTTTGTCCCTTAATATCTCTTTTAATAAGAAGTAAGTCTGACTTTTTCTCCTGGCAAAGAATATAGAAGATCTGCTTTTTCACTGGATGGCTAGCACATAAATCACATGGTTGTGGCACAGAAGTCAATCTATCAAGGTAGCTATTACTAATTATTCATCCTCAGGGAACAGTGTGGCTTAAGATTTGGACTCCAGTAACAGTACAGAGCTTTTCACCTCGTGCATTACTGGGTTTGTTGAATCAGAGTAGTGCCCAAAAGTCATTACCATCTGATGGCTGTGGGCCGGTGTGAAATGAGTTATTGGGCTTTATCCAGATTCTAGTGGAGGAATTCCTGTCCAAATCACATAACTATGGCTATAGTTGGCAAGGGCTGGAGTGCTTACTGGCAGCCAAAGCAGAACTCTAGGACTGACTTCATGTCAGAAGATGCACTCCCTATATGGAACTTATGCTCTTACATGGGTAAATGCAAAGAAGCTAAAAGAGGTGGTTTTCATTTTGTGTGTAAGGTATCACAACCTTATAGACTGCATTTAAAAAGTAAAATATGTCTCATTCTGACTGTTAATTCACTGGGTAATGCAATCACTTTTCTATCTTTAGAAAGAAGATAGAAAAACGAACTGAAAAACAGAAACAGTTTGACACATAGAAAGGGAGAATTCAATACTTAAAAGTGAAGTGCTAGTGATTTGATTACCTTTGATTATCTTTGATTACCATGAAATCCAGGAATAATGGGAATCAAAATAGAACATTTCTAAGAATGTTTATTTGTTAACATGAGGGTTTAGACTAGATACTGTAGTCATTCCAGTAGTCACCCAGGCTATACAGAAAAAATCAGGCACACCTGGGCACACAACCTTCTTTTTCATTCATAAGAATGAATCACAACACAGTTGAGTAGTTGTAGTTGTACAGATGGAAATCTTTCATAAACAGCATTCCCAGTAGACTAAGAACTGTAGAGGGCAACTGCCTGTTCTTGTGGTGGAAGGTACTTTGTACATCCTGATGAAATTCTGAGGGCAAGCTGAGAAGGCCAACTGAATTTGATGAAGAAGTACAGGACTGCAGATGACCTATTGCTTGCATTAATGGCACTTGAATATAGCCCTTGGGGAGCACTTTCAAAGCCCAAAAGATTTCTAATTGCTAGACAGAGCCAGGTCTGCATGATCAGCATGTGCTTGTTACAATCCAGCAGCAAAGGCAAGAATAACAGACCTAGTCATCTGAACTTTGACACCTGAAATAAGGAAGAACTTGCTGTCAAACAATAGAAAGCTCATATTGTGATAGGGTTCATCCTACACACTTTATATTTTAAGGGTGGGAAATTGTGATAATCTTTCTGCTCTGAAGTCAGGCAGGCATAGAATTCAAAAGACCAAGCAGAAACTCAACTTTGACCAGAAGATTTCTTTAATGTAAGGTGAAATATCTGAATTTCAGAGGCAAGAGATTTTTTTAAGCTAGGTCCCTGGAAATTAAGGCCTGGGAGGAACAAGAGAATAGAGTGAGAAGGATTTTCTTTTGAAAATAAGAGTCTAAGAATATGAGATTCTTTTATTTGTATTTGGTTGTATACATTGGGCACTGAACTGCAATGGTTTTCTGCTACTTTTGACCCTGTGCATGAGTTGAAAGCAAAATCTTAGATTATCCCCTATTTCACACTCTTAGAAAATGTAGCTTTGAATGCCAGCTTGCCTAGTCCTGTGTTTTCTAGAAGGATGTTACACCTCCAAACAACCACCTGTTGCTTTAATGTTACTTTAGATTTCAGATTTTAGTTTAGCAGCTCTTGTCTTTTATTTAAAAAATATTTTAAAAGTACACACAGGTCTAGGAATGTAAGCTATTTACAGCAAGTTCTGCAGCTCTTTTTGAGCTTATTCTTACTGAATGATGGACACAGACTGTATTGGGGTCTTATTTATTGAAAAAGGATTTGACCTATCGTTGTATGTATCATGAGGTAGATATTTAGTTATTCAGTCTCCTTCACATACATGAAAAAACTTTTTTTTTTTTTTAAGTGGTAGATATAAAATGCTTTCATTTTTTCACTCTTCCTTTGCTGAGGAAAGATCCCTAATGGAATTGCAGATGCTTATAGAAAAAAACACAGAAATGTTACACAGAGCATAGAATTTCACTCAGTTACCTCATGAGTAAGCAGGTCACGTTGTTGCCTCATGAGCTTGAAATTTGAAAATTCTTGACAGGAATATTAATAATATAACATTCCCCATTCACTGTAAGAATACAGGCAATCTGCTTACTGGAAGAACTTATTTAATAAACTCTAAGCCTGTGACCCAGGGACCAAATCTCTGTTGATGTTAATTTGTTGTACACATCAACTACATCAGCTACATATCAAAACATCATAAATATGTTATGAGAAACAAAATGCTTTTTTGCATCTTTTTCCTTAAACACTTTCTGTATTTTAAATGATAGCAATGAGCAAATGATCAGACAAGTGAACCAAACCATTACATTCTAATTTTCTACTTTTTAATAGTTATTAAAAATATTAGTCTTCAACAGCCAGTTGCGTCATGAAGGCAATATCTTGATGCTGAGCACAAGGATTACAAGCACAGAGTTTGCTTTATAATGAGTTTTATGGTTTGGCTTTCAGAAAATGTGAGCTAATCAAAACCTTCAGTTGGTTTCAATGGGATTTGTAGGTACTGAACAAATTTGATGATCAAGCTCTTTTTCATAGATGTTATAATTTGATCTGGTGAATGGTTGTAATTCATTTGTCATCATAATATGCAAAGAGTGAAAGGGCTGTAATCTTAAAAAAAAAAATTGTTTAAATAACACTTTTCTCACACAAAGTCTCATTTTCCTCAGTGTTTCCTCAGTTTCCTCAGCTTTTTTCCCCAATTTGCTAGGGTATTCCCCAATTTGCTCAATTGAAGATGAGAGCATATCTGACAGCTGTTGCCAGTGTCTGTATGAGTGCAGGCAATTCCTACCATGCCCTTTGCCTGCTTTTGCTCCAGCCTTACACTATCTCAGGATATTTCAGCCTGTTATCAGTCCTTGCTTGCCATCCCACTCCCAAAGCAGCTACTTATTCCTATCCCCTCTGCCTGTTTGCCCACCCCTTCTTTCACTAGGGATTCAAGGAGGATGGCGTTTTCTTTCAGCTCCGCAATATATCAGTCCTGGTGTTGGAAATTTGGGAAGGATTTCAATTAGAGACAAAGAAGCAGTCAATCAAAACAATAATAATAATGCCAATTGTTCCTGAAGATTTAACAGTAGATCAAGAATTTCAAGCCTGATCTACTGCTCTGCTGGAGACAGCTGTTCATAAATGACCCTTTAGTTAAGATTCTTTACAGGGAAGCACCAGGAAAGTGAGAAACTGCCTACTGAAGCTTTTCATGCTGATCTCATTTTTGTCTTTGAAAATTAAAATATTCACAAGCACTGAAAGCTGATATTTATGAGAAGAATTGGGGTAGGGGGAAGAATGAATTGCTTAAGCAACTCCTAGTCCATCATCAGCATCTCCAGCTGTACTGCAGCAGCCTCATGGAGATTCAGTATTCTGATTTTTTAGAAGTAATCATCTCCATGTATTTCTGCTCATTTTAGGGTGTGTTCTTGCATTTCACATTGTTTACAATATTTTATATGGAAAAACGAGGAAAGTTTTTATAAGTAGCCTTTATACCATTCAGTGACAGGAAGTTCTGTTGAACTTGAGAGAGCATCACTTTGTTAGATCCTTTCCGAATTATACACATGTTCAGTTCTGCCTTCAGAGCTGTAAATCCCAGTCTGTGTTACAGAGTTCAATGGATGAAGATGTGTTCCAATTACAAAGAGAAACAAAGTGCAAAGGTGCAATCAAGGATCTGAGCTATGCAATGCAATAGAAGGAAAACTGCACTGCGCAGTATGTAAAATCCCAGCTCTTATTTGGAACACTGGCAGCAGCTGAACTTGAACATCAGCACCTTTAATTTAAGGACATGGAGGCTGAGTGAGCCTCAAACAGCACACCACAGCAACTAGTGACTTCTAAAGAAAATTCTTCTGTAGCAAATTACTGTTCAAATAACTCAAATTTTGATGTGAAGGAATACTTTAAAGCCTCCATTTCATGTCTTGCAATCCTGCCTAAATATTTTTTCCTCTTCCTTGATTTCTTGCTAGTTTTCTGGACAAGATGCCCTTGCTAAGCTCCAGCAAGTTGAGCGTGGAGAGCAGAAAAGAAGATGGTGAAGGCACAGTGCCGGCCCCTCCACAGAAGAAGCTGTCATGTCAGTGCCACCACCATTGTCCTGAGGACTCAGTCAACAGCACCTGCAGGTTCGTGGAGCATCTATCTGGTGGTAAAACATGAGAAAACCTGTTTGTGATGTCTCTGCAGTCTCAAGTTGGGTGTTCTTGTTTGAGCAGTAATTGGTAAAGGAGTTGTTTAGAAATTAGCTGGTTTTTTTACATAGATGTCAGCTACATATCTATATTTTCTTTTTATAGTATTTACATCTTTCAAGCTTTAGATAAATACTTGTGTTAATTCTTTTTATATATGATATATTCTGAATGTAGTAGTTTGTTTTTAAAGGGTGCATGCGATTGATGAGAGGAGACTTATTGAAAATATTTTGAAGTGTCTATAAATGCTCATAAATTTATAATTAATCTTCATAAATTTCATTTATCATAAAAAACCTACTCTTTTGTATGTGTTTTTACAGAAGTGTTTTGTAGGTTGATAAGACAACTTGTTTCATGGTAGAAGACTTTTCTTCTCTTGAGATGAAGTGTTAAATACTTTTTTAATGTTAACTGTACTCCCACAGTCTTTCTGCAGGCACTGGTTAGAGTACTTATTAATAGAGTAAACTTATTTGGGTTGGATTCTGCTTTTCCCAGAGGTCCTAACTCCCTAAGATGGACATATGCTGTGCCTTGGAGGCTCAGCATTGACACTGCAGATACAGCAGAGTGGACCAGTGGCACCTGCAGTGGAAGCACACTGCTCTTCCCCCACTCTGACTTTTTTCACAGGGTACTCCTGCAGCAAACACATGAACTATTGCTGCTGAATTAGGGTGCTGATCTGACATCCCTCTTGGCTTGAGATGAATGCACAGTTTGTCTTTGCAGTCATGGAGGGGTGAACTCTTCATCTGCTTCACATAAATATCAACTTTTTTATTCTGCTTCCTTAAAACCAAGTAAAATACTGGAGATACTGCTCTGGTTTAGTGGAGTTGTGCAACTGCAGGAAACATCAAAGCAGGACACAAATATGAGCTCACCTGGATGAGCCAGTGGTGTATGCAGTTATTTTTCAGGTGAGACCATCTAACATTGTGTCAGTGCTGACTAGATCTTCCAGGCAGCATGTTAAGAAGATAGACAAGGAAAAACCCAATGTTGTTGAAGACAAATTGCTATTTCTTGGGATTTATGAGTGTTGTTCTGTAGCTTGACTTGGTTCAGCTCAGCCTGCAGTTTCACACAGAGGTGTATGGCAGTTTTTGATGACAGCTGTAAATACTACTTCCCCCTTTCAACCTTCTTTCTTCAAACCCATATATAGCTAGAAGTCAGACCTAACTGCTCTCAAATGGCAGTCCATTTAAAAAAAGCAATAAAAATTCCCTCTGAGATCAGTTTGCAGATCTCCTGCAGCATGAATCAGTTTTCCTGTTCCTGCCCAGCAAGAGCCACTGCTTTCACATATGCTGCCTTGCATGCATCAACAGGAAAGATGCAGAAGATTTGAATCCATTAATTATGAAGCATAAGAGGACTCATGTTAAGGAACTGACTCATTGAACAATTTATACGCTAACTTTGGGTGCACTGTTGCATTTTTTATCCACTCTTTCCCATCCTATGCTGTTACCTGAGCACTATCCAACTTGCCCAATGAACAACAATATAGTTGCTGAAGAGTTTAGACAAATTTAAAATTAAAAATTTAGATTATTTGAAATTAAATACCTTACCTTTGTGGTTTACCAGCAATAATCCTTTTCAGGATAGTGATCGTGGCCATAGCTCCCCTTACCTTGATATGAGAGCTGCAGTGAGGTCAAAGGACAACAAAGCATACAACATGCCTTGTCTTCTCTGCACCTGCTTAACTGTGTCAATCTTTTGCTTCATAAATTCCTTATGCTTAGCTGGAATTAAGGATGAAAAGTGAAAAGGGACCTTACAGTGACAAGGAAGTTCTAAGCCTAACATTCCAGTATCTGGCTTTCAAAAGATTTGGCCAAGCCCAGTCAGGTGAGCTGGGATTATGAGTTTCCCCATGCTGTGAGCAGGGATTTTGAGTTTCCCCATGCTTTGAGAGATTTCTACTAGTCAGCCTGTAACTTTCATGCTTCGTGCTATCCTGAATGACTATTGGCACAGTTTGAAAGGGCTCAGGAATTTTCATTTAACTTCACTCTGAAGAAAATTACACCATATTGAAATTCAAATATTATTTATTGTGCTGCGTTTGTCTGAAGAAGAAATAAACTGTTCAAATTAAAAGTTATTGCATTAATTATCCTCTTCCCTCAGATATAGTCACTAAAAGCTTTCAATATTTGATAAGAATTGAACTCTGCTGGCAGCTCTGTCAGTCTGTTAAGATTTGAGCTGTACTGGAGTCTGCAGGGCTCTGAGCTACATTGATTCAGAGCATCGTGCACTGTTCCCACTGAGGCTTCCACAAGAGCAGAGGAGCTTTTTGTGTGCCCAGGAGCAAGGAGTGCTCCCAAAGTTCAATGGAAAAGCAATTCCAGCTGTGGCTAAATTAGAAGCCCTGGAATAAAAGAGGCAGTTCCACCAGAGTCACTAATAGAAATCTCTTACAAATAGCAGTCTGCCATCCCTGCTGAAGTTTTTGGTCTGCTACCACAAATATTTATGTATCAGGACACACATACTGAGCAGATAAGCAGTACCCTGAATGTTTATGAAAAAATGAGGACATCTGGTGGCCATTTAAAGTTCTTTCTGTAATTGTATTTTTTTTTTCAATTTGAAATAAATATTCTTAAGCCACATCTGTGTCAAATCTTTGATCAGCCTTCTGTGTTTCTATACAGAACTACCCTTTCTCTGTATTTTTTCAACTTACGTGCAATAGTTCTTTAGGAAACTATCAATGATACCACAGCTGCAAATGCACGTTATTTTATCATAAACAAATCAGTAGCTCTAGCTTGAAGAGCATTCTTTAAAATGGTTCAATCCATGAGCACATAAGTTTTGAAAGACTCATTAGAGGGACATTTCATCAAGAGTCAGTGATGGGGAGCAATGAAAGGACAGTGCTATGTGTGGTAGACCAAGCGAGGCGCAGAGGGTGATACTGGCGCTAGCTGTTGCCTTACCCACTAACACCCTGTTCCCCTCACTGTACCTAAACACACTTGGCAGATCTAGATCTATTGATAGCTGTGCCAAGGGGCCTGCTAGTTGTAGGCTGGAGCAGCAGCAGGAGAGGGAACTAGAGATAGGCACTCGCTCACCATAGATTGGAAGGGATGTAGTGCTTAAACCTGAGGTCAAGCAGAGCTCCTGGGCAGAACGTGTGGTTGGGTGGTGTGAGGATACCACTCGGGGTAATTAAAACTCATTAGTGCACTTGAGGCCCTCATGATTAAGGTCTTTGTAAAAGTTTCATGGTTCTTTGCTTGTAAAGGGTGTGCTAGCCTGTGGTGTGTTGGAACTTCATTCTTTTGAACATCTGTGCAGTTCATAAAAGGCTTTCAATAAAGAAGCTCAGTGCTGCTTTGAAACAACCAGGACCTCATTTTACTGTTCCATTTTATGTTTTGTACAGGCAAAATGAGTGTGTGGGCAGTTGTGTCTAGTCAAAATTAGTTGCATATTTTTAAAAGTATTGTTAGATTTAATTGGCTATCAGTGTAATGGGATTGCAATAAAGGCAGAGCTGATTAGGTTCCTGGTTGTATTCTCTTTACATTTATAAATAAATGCTGACAGTTTTAGGGATCAGGGTGATAGAATTTAATTTCTTATGGTTTCTGCCCAACTGTGTCTTAAGGTAGCATTGGTTATCTAACGCAATAAAATAATTAAGTTGCTTTCTCAGCATTGCCAGAGGTGATAATTCACCTGACCTGATTTTCTTTTCATTTTCATGTTCTCTGGATAATGGGATTGAATTTTCTATGTAATTTGATATGTAGAGGATTTAACAGTGGGCCAAAGCACTGAGTTCAAGTATACTTTCTTTTAGTCACTTTCAATTTTTAGTGTAAAATTGAACACTTCCTAATGAGGGAGCTATGATGAGATGTTGCATGGTAGCTTATCTTTATTTTTTAATGTAAGCCTTTATACGGGGCTGCACGGGAGGCAAATAAATCTGTTTTGATCGGTAAAATCAAAAGCGAACAACCCTTGCAAGCTCCACTCTTTTCTTCTTTTCCCCTTCAGCCTTATGTCCCATACATGGCTTAGCAGATGACTTCTCCCTGAGTGCTCAAACCAAGGTCCAGATCTCCATCCCACCCTTTTGAACCATGCTTCAGAAACGTCTTGTTCTTTCTTAGTTTTGCTCAGAGGCTGCCTGTATCATATATTTTAATATATGCCTTGTGCTAAACAGTAACGCAGGTCCAATTTCCCTGTACAGAGACCTGTTGCATTACTTTCAGATAGCTTTTTTTAGCATGTGGGAATACTTTGGTGTTATTGTGTTGAAGTGCTTAAGATTTCCCTTGCATACTGAATTTACTTAAACCAAGAAAACATTCGAAAATAGCAAGTATCCATGTTGAAGCTGCCCTACCACAAAAAAGGAGAGTACATCATACAGGTTCAACTGTACTGTAGTCTTAAAGCCAGGTAAAAGAAATTATTTGGCCAGTGTTTAAATTTTTTTACACAAAAGAAAGAAAAGGAAAAAATAAAGGGAAAGGGAATAGAGAACAGTCTATAGCTTTATGGTTGATAGTTTCCTTCTTCACAGTTCTCACATTTACTGAAATGGATTTTGCACATAAGTGAACGGTACTGGAGAGAGCTGGTGAATGTGCAGAGAGGTACCCATGGTTGGTGTGACTGTCATACCCAAGGTTATGCTACTAGATCTGTAGACTTATCAAATCTCATGTACTTAGCACGTAGCCTGGATAGTCTGGCATTGTGTCTTGAATTCTGCATTGTGACCCACATATCAGGGAAAACTGTGGTTGATTTGTGATAAGAACAATGTGCGACACATCTAATAGGCTGAGTCATGTCTGGGAAGATCATATGGAGATAATATTGACGGATAGACCTATATGTGAAATAGGATATATGGGAAGATATTCTGCTAAGATATGTTGGGTATCTTCCCCTCCACACTCTGTGTGTAATGTAGTAGAGTTGTCACTGAACACCCTGATGACCTTACTCTGATCTTATTCTCTTCATCATCGTATTGGTTTCAGCATGATGCCAAACGGTACGACATACAGTAGAACGTGGTCAGACAAGCATCACTATCTCAAATACTAGTTGGGCTTGGAACTTTGTCCTCCTGTGGGCCATCTTCTATGCTTTGTCATGTCTGTATGTCTCTGATTGCCTTTGGGGTAGCTGTGCAAATGTGAAGGTGCATCTGGCTCAACAATTTTGTAATGCTCTCCTTCCTTCGTGGTTTCACGTTACTTCCCTGATGCACAGCCACTGTTATTTCTTCTGGAACATTAGCCTGTACTGAGCACATTTACAGGGGGCTCTTTGTTTTAGGGATGATATCCAAAGACACTGTTTTGCTGAATTTAGCCTTCAGCATCCTCCTTAAGTGAATGATATGACAAAATAGGTGAAATAGATGCAAACAGTGTCAGCCAGCCAATTTTTGAATTAGATCATTTCATCCAATCTTTATAGAAGTATACAGACTTTCAATTTCTGGAGATTGTATATTCTAACACTTTTTAATCATTTTTAAAAAACAATACAGAAGTTTGCCATGTTCCCTAGGATGAAAATGAAGAGATTGTGTAGTTCTTTCTGATATCAAAGCTAGGAGTATAATGGGGATGAGGGGAAAAAAAATATAACACCCATATGGATTCAATTGCAAACAGAATTAAATGTAAGGACTCTTTTCACCAAGTTATTTAACCCATCTGCTTGTCATAGGCACCAAATCACATGAAGGAACGATGTTGCTTTTGCAAGTTATATATTGCCATGCCTGACTGCATATAGAAACCAGGACAGGAAATCTTCAGCAGGCAAGTTTTGGTAGCTAAGGTATTGAATCTTCTGTGTGCGATGGCTGTCAGCCAGTAAGGACAGCTGTGTGAGCAGCTGCAGAACTGTTGGCCTCCATTCCTCTCTTCTGACATTTAGTAAAGCTCTTGCTTAAGATCACCTTTTTTGCTCAGGTAATCTGTAATTGTAGCAGCACCTTCTATATCAGTGCCTGCCAGTGTTTCTGTTACAAACTCCCACTGTTTCCCTGGCATTTGTCTTGGCTGTGAAAGTTCACTCTTGGCAAATGTGTGACATACCAAATCTGTGCTTATTAGCAATCACATTCAACTTACATTCAATTACTCTCCTGCATCTTACCTTAAGAAGTTGGTGCTTTAATGAAGGAGGTTAGTGGATGTGTATGGGGTTGTATCATTGGGATGAATTCCTTCTTTACGCAACAGTCTCAGATTCTCAGAGTCAAATTATGCAGAATTCTAATTGTGCATATTAAAAAACAAATTGGTTGGAAGCAGAGAATGTGTTTTTAATATTGCTTTGGATATGTCAGCAGTGTGCGTATGTTTCTATTTGTGCAGTCACCAAACTAAACATCAAATTAGAGATGATACACAGCTAAAATTGTTCCTAATTGTTAGAATAAGAAAAGTTTGAGGCAGATAAGTCAATAAACCAGCAGGGGTATGTTGTGTCTTTTCCTTGCAATGTGCAGTTCATCTGACAGCCTGTGAACCAGGACAAGAACTCAGGGCAGGAGGTTGGGAATGAAAGACTTCATTCTTTTCAGAAGAGTCACCTCTATCTATCTCTTCCCCAAATCTGCAATAAGACAAAGAATTCTTATATTGTATGAACACTTTTTATTTTTTCTTAGTGTTAGAATCAACTGGAACCAATATTTATTTTGATCGACATTGCTATTTTTAGTTTTCTCATATGTTTCCCTCATTACTCTATTGTTGCCTGTAAAGAACATGATTTACCCTTATTGTTGGAGCTTTATAACTTTTATATTTTGCTCTATTTAGTGTAATATTGTTTGTCTTTTTAAATCTGAAGTAAAATGACACAGTGGAAGGAACGGATGCCATTCAGAGGGACTTCAAGATGCTAGAAAGGTGGGCCCGGATGAAACTGATGAGGTTCAACACGGCAAAGTGCAGAGTTTTGCACTTGGGCTGGAGGAATTGCAGGTATCCGTACAGACTGGAAGGAGCGGTCTTTGAGAGCAGCTCTGTGGAGGAGGATCTGGAGGGTCTTGATAGATGAAAAATTTAACATGAGCCAGCAGTGAGACCTTGCGGCTCAGAAGGCAAATGGTATCCTGGGCTCCATCAAAAGAGGGGTGGCCAGCAGGGACAGGGAGGTGATTGTCCCCCTCTACTCTGCTCTTGTGAGGCCCCATCTGGAATACTGTCCAGGTGTGGAGCCCCCAGTACAAAAAAGACAGGGAGCTGTTGGAGAGGGTCCAGAGGAGGGCCACTAGGATGATCAGGGGACTGGAGCACCTCCCCTATGACAGGCTGAGGGAGCTGGGCTTGTTCAGCCTGGAGAAAAGAAGGCTGCGGGGTGACCTCATTGCAGCCTTTCAGTACCTAAAAAGAGCCTACAAACAGGAGGGGAGTCAACTCTTTGAAAGGGTAGATAACTGCAGAACAAGGGGAAATGGTTTTAAGTTGAGGGAGGGAAGATTTAGGTTGGATGTCAGGGGGAAGTTCTTTACAGAGAGAGTGGTGAGGTATTGGAATGGCTGCCCAGAAAGGTTGTGGATGCCCCGTCCCTGGAGGTATTCAAGGCCAGGATGGGGCCCAAGGCAGCCTGGTCTGGTATTAAATGAGGAGGTTGGTGGCCCTGCATGTGGCAGGGGGGTTGGAGACTCATGATCCTTGAGGTCCCTTCCAACCCTGGCCATTCTGTGATTCTGTGAAAATTTTCAGAGGGACTGAAGTGCTTGAGGATCCCAAATTCAATTTTCTAAAATGAGCAAAGTATCAGAGTCCCACGACAAGTCAGAAGAAATGAAATAAAATTGCTGACTTTTCCTGCTTTTTTTTTTTCCTTCTGCAAACAATTTGGCTTTTCCTTCCGCCCCTGTCCTTCGGTGAAACAGAGAGTTTTGGTTTTTGCTGTGGATTGCTAGCTGAGGAGTTCTTTTTTGTGTTTCACTAGATTGCAATTTATTGTTTTGTTGCTCTGTCCCCTGGGTTACACTTACTCATTACTTTGAATCAAAGGCACCATGCAAACAAATAAAATCTAATCTAATATAATATTCTACTCTAATGGATTCCTTACAGTCTCTCTTCTTGGCAATCCTATCGCTCCTATCTTAAGCTTCGGCAATGAAATCAAGGTGGTTGTTGCCCAGAAGGGCAGCTGTCTCCTTTGCCTTGCTCGTATGCACAGTGTCAGAGGGGAGTAGAACCCCTAGCTCTCTTTTCTCTGAGAAAGCAATTTGTAACATACAATTGGTTACTTTTCAAATCCAGAAGTCAATAACGAGTGATAGATTATTATTTGAAGTAATAAGTTTACAGTGGCTAGACCCTGCACCACTAATATAAAAATATGCTACTGCAAATGTTTGACATGATTCTTTTCTAGCCAGCATCTGTCTGTCCTGTAGCTAATACTTACAAATGGTGTTTATCTATTCCATGTGTAACAGCACTCTTTGAATCCTACATCTCATTTTCTTTTCTCTTGCTGCTCTGTTAGACTTCCTTTCCTTCCACTGGGAGCAAATCATCTGAAATTTTGTGGTGCTTAAATTTTCTAATCCTTTTTTCTTTTTATTTCCTTGTTTTAACTGAGTTTATTCTCCTCAGAAAAATACTTGCTGAGCGTAATAACCAATGTTAGTTTCCCATGAAAATAAAGGAATATTTTTTGTGAAGTAAATGTATTGGATTAAATAATTCTTTATTTCTTGATTTTTTTCCTCCAAATCAGTCAACTTGTGTTCCTCACTTATGTTACATGCTCGCCAACAGTAATTAGAAATTAATGCATGGCAATCTCAGTAAAATGAAGTCCCCTTTTGTACCCTCCCCCCCCTTTCTGCAGCATGCAGGCATTTGACCTTCATCAAAGAAGGACATTTATCACCAGCACCATCTAGCCATCTGTTATTATGCTTATCTTCCATGGGACACGGTTGTGTAAATGGGAGTGTTTTGGATAATTTCAGGTTTGTAACCCAAGTAAACAGTTATGAAGAGTGTTGATGATAACTCAAGGACTCACACACCAGTGCCACAGTTTGTAATACGTCTAAAACAGGAATCACAAATCTCTCTTAATAAGATTTCACAGCAAGGATCTCAAGAATGTTTCTTTTTCCATATTCCCACCATGGTGTGTGTAGCCATGCCTTGTTCCCATGCACAGGGCAGACCTGCTGTAGCATTGCTGTTTGCATTTATGTAGTTTTCCAAAGCCTTCACATGTTAATGGCTGCAGGAATTTACAGAGAATTAAGATGTTAGTGAGCTTTGTAGCTGTGAAATTTTGGATAGGTGAGTATGTCATACTGTCAGCTGTCTTGTGCTGTTACAGCAGATTGCATGTGTGCCTGACTTTTTCCACACGTGCAGTAGTGCTTCAGCCCTTTGTGTTTTGTCATGCTGCTGGAGGAAATATGTTGCTTTGGTAATGGAAGATTTTCCTTCCAATGAATAATGCTGAAGACTGTATTTAACACCATGTTTTTCACTTCAGAACCTTGTACTGATTTATTCTTTTCAATCCTCAGCACTGATGGCTACTGCTTCACCATAATAGAAGAAGATGATTCTGGTGGACATTTGGTCACCAAAGGATGTCTGGGATTAGAAGGCTCGGACTTCCAGTGTCGGGTAAGAAAGTGTTGGCTGCCTGAGTATTGCTTGAATTTTGATGGCTTTCAGTTAATTACTTTGCTTTCTCTGAAATTATTCCAGGACACTCCTATTCCACACCAAAGAAGATCTATTGAATGTTGCACAGGCCAAGATTACTGTAACAAACATCTTCATCCGACACTGCCTCCACTGAAAAATCGAGGTAAAGGGAAGTCTATCCAGGCCCAAACTGACCTTTTTCTGCTATTGCCCTTTGTGTCTCAGGAAGAAACAAAGCCATAACCAATGCAGCCACATCCAAGTGTACATGATCAGAGAGATGAGCCCTACTAAAAACTGTCTGGATTTATTGAAGTAGAGAGCAGTGTCTTGACCCATGGTTGCAGGTTCCTGCTGTTATTTGTGTTGCTCACGTGCAGTGAGCACCAGATGAATTATTTGCTCGATATTGTCATAGATTTGCTGGCTGTTAGTGGTCATCCCAAAGACTGAAGTTGCATGTGGCAGGGGATGGCTTTTGCTGTGTATAGTTTTTCGTGATAATAAAATTGAATCCTATATTTGTTCATAACAGCACATACATCTGGGACCAGATCTCTAGAGGTTAATCTAGCATTTCAAACTGACTGAAATCCATAAAGCATTTCTTACTTATAGAACCCAGTAATCCACTGAAGTGGATTTTCTGCTTGAAAAATGTAACTCAAAATAGAATGAAAAGTGAAAACTCGTACAATTACTGTTATTTTGTTGGTGTGTGCTGTTATTAAGAACAAATGGAAGTGTTTTAACTTTTAAGTAGATTCTGAGGCAAGCATAGGTCAGATTTAGGTGTGTTTGTTTTGTTTAAACACTGCCTTCTGAAAATTGATAAAACCACTTTGGCTGGATATGGCAGATTCCATTTTTAAAGAATGTATTCCTGGGATCAGTGTAATATTCTTCCTTCATAAACTCTTGGCATCATCAGCAATGGCCAAGATCTGTGGAGGTCAGCATGGAATTTAGTCTGTGAGAGTATGTTCAGGGTTGCAAGAGAATTTGTAATCATGGCGTTCTGAGTTGGAAACCCAAACTGACAAACAGCAGCTACTTACACATAAATATATGCTCATAGAAAGCCTTCTCTCATGTAAGATATTCCCTTCACACCTATGAAACTCTGCACAGATGGGTTGCAGTGCCAGGCCTGTGGAGGGTGGTGTGTAAATATTTCACTATTTACTAGCAAGTCATTAAGTCAGTGAAACCTCATAAAATTCCAACTTCCAACATGAGAGTTATGTACTATTTTGTTGTGTATTTTTTTTCATTTTAAAAAGTTATTTGAACTGAGGGAGAAACTCCAAAAGGAAGTCAATATTTGTTCACACTTACTTAGCGTATCAATAAATATAATTACAGTTTGGAAGATTATTTCTTCTCTCTGCTGAGTTAATTCTATGTTAAATCTACTTAAAAGTACTGAATCAATGCCAAACATTAGGCATCTGCCTTATTAAGTTTTTGGATATTTGGCTGTACTATCTGCTACTTATACAGAAAACAGTACAACAAGATTTTTATGGTGGCAGAAATTGTTTGGATCAATGTTGACTTTGCTGTGTGTGTACATGGATTTAAAAAAAAGTATTGCTTGGGCACTTGTGGTGGCAGACCCATTAAACAGCAGATAGATTTTTTTGATGAAAGAATAATGTTATAGAGTTGGAGCAGGACTCTAGCCATTTTATATTGCAAAATGTCTATTTTATACTGACAAACAGAAAACAATGCATCATTCAGTGTATTCTGAAGATTTTTGTTTTAACTAAGTTTGTGCACTGCCAGTGTCCTGACAGTGTATTCCAAATGCTACTTCTTTCCATGTGGCTGAGCAGGGCTGAAGCCAGCACCTTTATTAAAGCCTTAAGCACATACGTCATTCCTGGTGCCAGACCTGTTCTTATGTGCCATGGCTGTATGCTAGTTTAAGAGCTCGGAACAAAGCCTGGACTTAGGGGATTCTCCGTGCAGCTGTGTACAAATACTGAGTGCCCACTATTGCCAGTGTTCAGTACTCTGCATTGTGATCATTGTGTCTGTTGGAAACTTTTAGACTTGGATATGTGAGTGAGAGCTGTGAGACTTGTACATTACGTTTCTCATAACTGGAAGTACGACAAAAGGAAAATTAACCTAAAAACAAGCTTCTAGGAAGCTTCCTGACCTCCAGGATTCCACGAAAAATATGTGTGCTACTTGGCATTTAAAAAACAAACAGAAATTTGGCTTCTGAACTTACATCCAAGGTCATATCTCATGGGAAACAGAGCCTAGGGAGGTTGTCCAGCTGCAGGTCAGAGGTTGTTGAACTGCAAATTAACCCGCACACCAAGGTAACATCTCTAGAGAGGCAAGCGGCTTGTGTCCTGGAAGTGTTTTTCCAGACCTGGCATGTGCTGAAGGACAGTTTTACCCTCTCCTTGTGAGAAGATAGGAGAGCCGTGCACATGAGGGTGGGAGCTCAAAGAGTTAGCATTGGACAAAGCAGGGTTTTCTTGAACAAGATGTAAGAAAGTAAGAGCCAAGCTTAAGTTTTGAGCTCATCTTGTTACAAACCTGGCAAGTTAAAATAGCCAGATGATACCACAAAATCCTTGTACCACCTATGTATTTATCTTACTGAGGAAATGAAAATCATAACTGGGTTTGAAACAACACCTCTGCTTTAAACAATAAAAGATATTCCTGGAAATCCCTGTGAAAGTGCAGACTGAGATCAGTCGAAAGGAGAAATATATCTTTACTGATTTAAAGCCTGTATAAGCAGAAGTGGTGGTGCCACCGTGTCTGGCTCCCTGCCTGTAGAGCTAGTGATGAATGGGCAAGGGAACGATTGGAGGAACGATGGGGTTTGATGTGTGCACACAGTCTCCACGCCTCGGATTTCACTGCCATTTTTACTTGGATAATCTTAACATTGTGAACTGGACGAAACGGGGAGGGAGGAGAGCCTTTGACACCCTGACTTCTCCCTTCAACCTGCTGTGTGGCATTTGCAGTGCACTCATCAGCGTGATGCTGCACATGGCAAAGTGGGGTGAATGGGAGGGGGAGAAGGGAGAAAGCACAGAAGAGTAACTGAGAGGCAGGCTGGTGTAACGAGATTCTGCTTTTGTTGCCACTTCTTCCTTTCTGTGCTGACCATATCTGACAGCTGCACACATCCATGTTTTCTTACAACCTAAAATTGTTTGTAAACATGCTGTGTGCTAGTCTTTGGTATTATGTGTGAGCCAAGGTACCTGAGGAAGCCTCCTAAACTTCCTATCTGTTTGTTTTGTGTTCCCCTCACTGAGCTCACAGTCATAGCTCACTGCTGCCTCCTTGGAAGCTGCTGCTTATTCTCATAACCTCACTGCTTAGCATGTTGCAGTTGCCAAGGAACAAGCAGTAAGCAGCACAGCACCAGTCTTAAAGAGCAGAGCTTCTCCATCTCACAATTACTGGTACCACTGCAGAGACAAAGTGGACTATGGCTGAATCCTGTCCTGTCCCTCTCTTTGGAGGTGGTCTCAGCTGCCTGAAATGGTGCAGGAAGAGCAGTTTTATCCTTCTGCATTGTGGGGAGCATCCTCATCTGAAGAAGGAGGGAAGAGTGAGTCTCCAGCAGCACTAGCCTGCCTCAGTTCAGCAGCCTCCTGTACCTATAACTCTAGCAGACAGCTCACATGGGAAGCTTGAGTGAAACACTGTGTTCACCATGTTGTTGAGGGTGATGGATGTCATCTACCTGGACTTCGCAAGGCCTTTGACATGGTCCCTCTCCACATCTGTCTCTCTAAATTGGAGAGGTGCGGATTTGAAGGATGGACTGTTTGATGGATTAGGAATTGATTGGCTGGACAGCCAAAGGGTTGTGATCAGTGATTCAGTGTTCCTTCGCAAGGGTCGATCTTGGGGCGGGTGTTCTTCAGCATTTTCATTAATGACATAGAAGATGGCATCAAATGCACCCTCAGCAAGTTTGTGGATGACACCAAGCTGAGCGGTGCAGTTGATATATTGGAAGGAAGGGAAGCCATCCAGAGGGACCTGGACAGGCTGGAGAAGTGAGCCTATGAAAATCTAATGAGGTTCAATAAAGCCAAGTGCAGAGTGCTGCACTTGGGTTGGGGCAATCCCAGGTATTTATAGAAACTGGGGGAAGATCTCCTGGAGAACAGTCCTGCAGAGGGCTTGGGGATCCTGGTAGATGAGAAGCTGGACATGAGCCAGCAGTGTGCTCATGCAGCCCAGAAGGCTGTGTTTTGGGATGCATTAAAAAAGGTGTGGCCAGCAGGGAGATGGAGGTGATTGTCCCCCTCTATCTGGCTCTGGTGAGACCCCATCTGGAGTACTGCATCCAGGCCTGGGGCCCCCACTACAGGAAGGATGTGGAGCTCTTGGAGTGGGTCCATAGGAGGGCCACTAAGATGATCAGAGGGCTGCAGTCTTTCTATGAAGAAAGATTGAGGGAACTGGGCTTGTTTAACTTGGGGAAGAGAAGGCTCTGGGGAAACTTCATTGTGGCCTTCCAGTACTTGAAAGGAGCATATAAACAGGAGGGGGAATGGCTGTTTATGAGAGTGGATAGTGATAGGACAAGGGGGAATGGTTTTAAACTGAGACAGGGGAGATTTAGGTTAGATATTAGGAGGAAGTTCTTCACACAGAGGATTGTGATGCACTGGAGCAGGTTGCCCAAGGAGGTTGTGGATGCCCCATCCCTGCAGGCATTCAAGGCCAGGTTGGATGTGGTTCTGGGCAGCCTGGTCTGGTGGTTGGTGACCCTGTATGCAGCAGGGGGGTTGAAACTGGATGATCACTGTGGTCCTTTTCAACCCAGGCCATTCTATGATTCTATGACAAACAGACATTACACATGGAAGAAGAGAGGCAGTTTTTTTTATATTTTGTTGTCCATGTACCAAGTGGTTTATGAAATCTTCAAGCGCGCAAGCAGAATTTTGCCAATAGGAAGTGTTTGAAAGACAAAACAATGTCCGATTTAGCATTTCTGTAGCCTCTCTTCCTATGTGGCCAAATAAATATGAAGACATATGGAAGTCATTCTCCTTTTCCATGAGATCTGGTTGCATGCCCACTGTGATATGTGCAGAGAGCTGTCACCTACTGCCACACTGACACATCCCTTCGTGTCTTGCATGCTTTCCTTGTACTTACTGAAAAATTCCGAAAAAGTCTCAAGGTTGCGTTAAAGCTGAGCAACACTTCCAGGATGCCTTGAGGAAAATACAGGCATGTTTGTTCAATTGTCTGAATGGGAGAAGCCCATTAGCAATGTTGGGCTCGGTGTTTGAATCATTTAAAATGATCACAATACAATTAAGATCTGTCATTTTATCATCCTTCTCCCAGATGTACATAATCAAATCCACATAGTCAGTGTAAATGATACTGACACATCTCAAGTTCTTGTAGTGCAAGACTAGTACTACACACTTCTGTGCAGATCACTATTTATCCTCTCCTCAGCTGATGCATTGCAACGTCTTCAACTATTACAAACCACATATTTTAGAGGGAAGTGGTTGGCAGACCCAGACTGCCTATGGAGCATGAAATAGAGTCTTCGGACCTCCTCAGCAGCCCTCATCGTCATAGGAGAGAACTGGGTTCCCCCAGTGGGCTCTCATTTTCAGCTCCAGGCCAGGTAAAAATCTGCCACTTCAGTGGGAATGATGGGCTCTGGTGTTTTCCTGATAGACATCATGTTAGTGTCCCCTTTCAAAAGCACTGGCTGTAGCTTGAATGTTTACATTGCTAATGCTCCGGGTGCAGGTAATGGCAGGTTAAAACATGACCAGCGTGATCAAAAGGTGCACTGGGAGGTAATCTCTGTTTGTAGTGAAGAAGGAAAGGGAAGGAATCGTTTGGGCACAAAAACAGAGGGAGAAATTCGATCTTTAATCTAAAAGAGCCTGACAGTAAGCCAAGAATCCCTTAGGAATCTCTTTGTCTCATTACCCTTGTAAATCTGAAACGTAGTAGCACTATTCCAGAATGAGTCAATGAGGATAGAGTTCTTGCATTTTATGATGTGTTCGGTATTAGTGTGAAAGATGCAAGGTGGCAGGGCTGGGAGAGCTTCAGGAGCTGTTATCCTCATTTGCAGTAGTCTAGATAGCAACTTCAGGAGGATGGTTTGTGTGTGTACATGCTGATGTGTAATTTTGAGACTGGGATGTTTAAAGGAAAAGCAGTGCCAAATATCTTTGGTTTACAGCAGGGAAGCATGGATGAAGGTCAGTATCACTTACCTGAGTCAAGAATACAAATTTAGGGATTAGCGATGCACTTTAAAGCACAGTATTAGTCTTCCATTCAAAGACTGACTGAAATATCTTAGTAGTTTTCATGCTGTGGTGTTTCCTCGAGTTATTTGACATGGTTCATCTTCAAAGTGTTTTACAGAATAAGTGCTGCAAAGATGGTTTCACCCCTCAGCATGGCTTTTTCTGGCACGTAGGTCTGCTATGGAATGAATGAGGAAAAAAATGCCCACTTAAATGTTAAAGCAGGATCAGAGAGGTGGAGTATTCTTCAGTGCTGGAAATATGCCTACAAAGTCTTCAGCGGTTTGCCCTCTCAGGGGTTGGGTGGTCTCCTCTGTTTCCCTACTAGGATAAACACAATTATTTATTTGTTATATTAACTGTTCAATCAGATGCCAGTGGTTTAAGATATGGATTTAAGATCTTTGCATGTCCTCGCTGATCACATATGTTAAGCCACAAAACAATGAGTCCTGGTTTGATTTTTCTAATTGATTTAATTCAGAGTCAAACTGGGACTTGCAAATCCATGCTTTGACAGAGTAGGTATACATCAGCACATGGGCTCCTGTGGGCTGCCCTGCTGGATGAGGCACAATGAGGACATGCACAAAACACCAGTAAAACACGGAGGCATTGTGTACAGAGTTGTAGTAGAATCACAGAATTAGAACCACAGAATTATTTGGATTGGAAGAGGCCTTAAAGACCATCTATCTCCAACCCCCCTGCCATGGGCAGGGACAGACCTGTTCTAGCCTGGCTTTGAACACCTCCAAGGATGGGGCATCCACAGCTTCAACAACCTTATGCTTGGTGTGCATTTTTTCACACTGACTTTGTACCATCTCCCTTTCCAAATTTTCTCACTTTTTTCCTCCTGCTGCTCTGTTTTATCTCCAGATTTTGCTGAAGGAAACATTCACCATAAGGCCCTGCTGATCTCAGTGACTGTCTGTAGTATACTTCTGGTGCTTATCATCATATTCTGCTACTTCAGGTAAATAAGGAACATTTTATCACCTCATTAGCATTCTTCCCAACTTTTGTTTTTTTGTGGACTCAAAATTTTGAAAATTTAAGATTGGCCTCTTGGGAAAAAAAAAGAAAAATGATGTAATTTTATCATGTGAAAAGAATCTGTACTTTGTTCGTGTTATTCACAGGCATACCTCAGTGTTGTATTCCATGTATAATCTCTCACCCAGCATCATAAGAAGCCTTCCAGTTTGAAGCACAGACTGCTCTTTAGTGAAGCTGAGAATGCCACAGTACAAAGTTTATACAGAACAAAAAAACTGAGGCTTCTCAGTGAGTTTATGTGGTGAGGATCTTAAAAAAGAGGAGAATACTGGAATGTTAAGCGTGTCTAGAATATCATCATAATCTACATAAGTTTAAATAATTCTCTGTGTTTTTTAAGTACTCCCAGGTCCCACAATTGTTCTTCCTTTTACTTTTAAAAGACCCACTGCAGTTAGTAAATAAAATTTCGCATTTATTTTGTCTGTGCTTTAAAGTTCTGAAAGAAAAGCATCTCTTAGCTTTGCAAGCTCATAGCACGCTGCACAGTCTTTGAGTTTTATTACGTAGAGGTTTGATGCTGAAAACGGTTTGTTAGAAATAAAACTGAAAATATTGGCCAGAGAAGCTGAGGAAGCCGTGTGTCTATATATGAGGCTAATGTGGAGGATAAGGTTCTTTACCCTTTGTACCCGTGCTCGTTATATTGGAAGCTAACTTTGGTGTACAAATGGCAGGTATAAGCGGCAAGAGGCCAGGCCCCGCTACAGCATTGGACTGGAGCAGGATGAGACCTACATTCCCCCTGGAGAGTCCCTGAAGGATCTGATTGAGCAGTCCCAGAGCTCTGGCAGCGGCTCCGGGCTCCCTCTCCTGGTAAGGAAGCAGCATTATCTGAATGTCAGTTCACAAAGAAAAAGGAGTACAGAGAGAAAACAAAATGATGCGCAAGAAATGTATTTTTTTTAATGTTTGAAAGGAGGCGCTGTGTCTTTAAGGTTTGTCTTTCATTTATTTTTATATTTTATTTTCTCCTAGAATTGACAAGGATTTAAGCTGACGAACAACTCCGTTAGAATCAGGAGAATTTTTTTTCTCCTCACGTATACTCAGCCAAAAATACTACTTGTTCTGTTTTGTTTTCTTTTTAATTCCTCTCTTAGAATACCACAGGGCAAATAGAGACCAACAGAGACCACAGAAATTTATCAGGATTTACCCCGGTGCAAATGACAGCATTTAGCCTGCAGTCTTATTTTCTCACTTTTTACGTGCAACACACAATAGCTTTTCCAACACTGACACGTAGGCTTTATGTGAAAGAAATTGCAATTCATTGAATGTGGAACCTTTTTATGTGCAGACTTCACTTTGCATTCAGAAGTCAAGAATGAATTATTTTACCTTGTACTGAGGTAATCTCAAAGGTTAAAGGCATGGGGATGGAGTGAGCTTTACCATTATTTCTGAACTGACTGCAGGATGGCTGAACCCCCTCAGCTCACATGCCAAAAAGGCAATGGATTTACTTTCTGTAGGAAAACAATTCTGTTCAGCAGTTTGTTTTCTCAAGGGCTATTGTTGCTTTTTAGCACTGAAAGAACGGCACAAATTAGATTTCAGTTTCTTTTTTTCAGAAATTGTATGTCTCTATACTCTTCCAAACTGATTAGTTTGTAGTGGTCCTATTACTGGTGATGTTGCCCAATTTCCAAGTACTGTCTATTGTTTTTTTTTGCCCTCACATCTTGTTTTCTAAACCTAAAAGAGAAAAATAAATGGAAAATTTTATTTCCTTGAAATGAGGCAACAGATTGAGTGGCTGGCTAAAAGTGGAGTCAGTTTGGCCTCAGTTTGGTTGTGGATGCCCTCTCTCTGGAGGTGTTCAAAGCCAGGTTGTAGGGGACCCTGAACAGCCTGGTCTACCATTAAATATCGAGGTTGATGGCCGTGACAAGAAAGCTGGAAAAAAAACATGACAACATGACATGACAAAAGTTTGTGCTTTATACTTTCTTCCATCTCGGTGAGCCTCAGCTGGTTGAAGGTGGGATCTGTGGTCTTACTGCTGTCTCTAGCTCTCTCTTTGCCTATGAAAACATGCATTTTTCTGTGACTTTCCCTTTAAATAGTCATTTTCTTTGGAAGAGAAGAAAAATGAGAGCTACAGTGAAACTTGCCCATAATAATAAATGTTTGTTGTGCTTCTCAGACAGCTACAACCACTACATGCTCACTGGAAGTACACAGCTTAGTACCTCTGGGCCCATGCCTGAAAGAAACATATAGGAAGCACCTAGCAATAATGCTGTAGACTATATTGCGGAAGAATTTGTTTTCAACTGCTTTATTTTTTATTCAAGGAATGAAACTTCCAAAGCTATTATTTCAGGAACATAACCCACACATTTATTTCAAAATGTAAGTTTATGATAAACAGTATTGTCTTCCTCCTATGCAGAAAATTTATTCCAATGAGTACAGGTATTACACCAAAAATAAACATTAACCAAGATTTTATCTAGATTTTGACATTCAGCAAACGTTCTTTTTGTGGGCTGTTTGACAGAAAAGTTTGCTGCAGGTCAAATGCTGCCAATCAAGTTTTAAACCAAAAAAAAATACAGCAAATTGTAACTAAAAAGCTTTGAGCCAATAAGCTCAGGTACAATCAAGTCTGCATGAGCAAGCAGAACCCCACTGCCCAACACAAGATGTTTATGCAAAGCTCATGCCTCAGTGTACCCATGTTCATAATCAGGGAAGGAGGTAAAATGCTGAGTACATAAATGAGAGAGAAATCAGAGTTCCTTCTCTGCCTTTTCGTGTATGTTTTTTTTCTAATTTCTCTTCCAATGAATTTTGCTTTTCAATAGACTGCACCCCAGCCTTAGGAATAAGCCCTCTGTTCAAAATGTTGAAATTACAAAAAATTTGCTTGTCTGAATTTTAGTTTGCATTAGATGGAGACATTTAACTGAAGATCAGAAAAGCAGAATGCAGGAGTTAGAAATAGTTGACAATTGGATTGATTGCAGTCAAGGAAAGGAAACAATGGGACATGGGGACCTGGTGGTCACACAACTCAAGTAGCAAAACAAAATCTAGAAATAAGTAAAGAAAATCACTAAACAATTAGCATGGATACATCATTCAGCATACTTACAGAATTAGTTCATCTAGCATTTTTGATTAACTGCTTTGTTCTAAAAATCATAATCAGATTCAAGAAAGGGCTAAATTCCTTAAAATAATATAAATTGTTCACTGTAAATCATCTGACTAGTTCTAGCAAAAGCAAACCAAGTTAAGGCCCTCACATAGTATTCTGCCGCCTGAAAACCCATAACAGAGATGTGTTTTTCGTTTTCTTAATGTAATATAATAAGGAACTTTTCATCATTAAGTATTGTAATTTCATGTACTTTATGATGCCATTACATATATTTGCACAAATTGAGTTATTTGGTATAACAGCATTATTGTTCAGGATGCATTTTTAAAATGGGCGGAATAGAAAGCAACAATGCTAAAATGACATTACAAAATGTTAAAGCAAAATTCCAATGTAATGTAACTATTGTTCAATCACTATATAGGAGTATAAAGGAGAATGAATCAATTTTAAAAATTCAGTCTGATCTGTTTTTGGCTATCACTGATGTTAATAAAAAAGAATGGCATTGCAGCCATCTTGGAACCCTAGTTACACATTGCAGGGCCTGAAAAAATGGGATTGTATGTAAATTGAAACAGAAGAAAGCTGGAACTTTTGAAATAGCTTTGCATAAATGTCATTCTTTGAATTTTTCTTCTTTGAATTCTCCAACATGAAAAACAGTAATTTATTTACGAAACAAATGGCTATCGACCTTACTTAATAGCTTTTGAATTCATCTCGTGACATGCAGTCATACTTCAGAAGGATTGTGGCAGTCCTGCTCTGCATTACCTGATTGACAGTTTCAATGGTCATTCCAGGGATAGCAAAGGAAGCATGATTTTAAAATCAGAGTTTGATCATTTTTGTTAGCCAGGGTTGCAGAAATTCTTAAGATTATGATTTCATAGAGATTCAGACTTGTTGCATTAAGCTGCTCAGGAATTGTGTCTGGGTGGCGGCAAAACCTAGAGACCTCAACATGACTCTTATCCAGATTTTACCCATAGTGTGGGCCAGATGAAAAACCCTAGAATAAAATGAAATTGCAAAATCTTGTAAAATCCTACAAAACCAAAAATTGTTAGCAGTGGTGACATCTTAATGTCCTGTTACATTAAGGAGAGGCTGAGTCAACCATGAACACCAGTGGGTCGTGTTGCAACATCTATTTAAGTTTTCTTCTATGAGCTTGCAGAAATACATCATCTTCAGACATGCTGCAATTCTATGTTATTTTCAATCTGTCCAAGACTTTTTGTCATCATAAACGTTCATTAAATGTAGAATCAGCCCATCTACTATGCATAGTCTGTCAGTATGTTGTGTATACCTCTACAAAGCTGCTAAATAAACGCACTGACCTTCTGCTAGAGCTGGACAAATGCTTTCATTTTTACAACAGTTCCCAGTAAAATGAATGCAGGCACTTGGGTTGTAACTGGGTAAGTAATGGTTAAGGCTCCAAATAACAAATTAATATTTTGAAATTATTAGTCATAGGATTTTCAAGGAAGGTCATAGGAAGCTGTTCACAGTAATTTCAGTGATCTTGAGTCTGTCTCAAAGGTGTTGAGTAGGTAAGCCTTTGGAAATGAGATAGGAAGGCTTCTTCTCAGGGACAGGAATGGCCTCACTAGTGCTGTCTCTTGGGGAGAGATAAGGAGCATCCATATGGCAAACTTTTGTTGAAATCTGTTTCGCAACTGCTGCATATTCTGCTGTTCAGAGAAAAAACGAAGGACTGAGGTGAAGGCAGAAAATTTCTGCAGAACGCGTTCTCATTGCGAGTCTTGGCATTTTACAGGTTCAGAGGACCATAGCAAAACAGATTCAGATGGTAAAACAGATTGGAAAAGGTCGCTATGGGGAAGTCTGGATGGGAAAGTGGCGTGGCGAAAAGGTAGCTGTCAAAGTGTTTTTTACCACAGAAGAGGCCAGCTGGTTCAGAGAAACAGAAATCTACCAAACTGTCCTGATGAGGCATGAAAATATTCTCGGTGAGTGAAATTAAAGATCATCATTTGATAGTGATGGCTTTCTTAAATTTAATTACTTTATATTTGCCATTGTCTGATGCCCTTTCTTATGTGCTTTGTTACTTGCTGAGCTCTGCAGTTAGTCACCCTGCACTTTTGAAAAGAAAAAAGCTTGAAGTATTACTGTGCAGGTAAAAAATAATATGGGGACATGGCTATTGCTCGAAAAATCAGACATCTGGCTCTGCCACCTGTGTTTGAGTATCTAGGCTTTCTGAAAATGTGTAAAGAGCTAAAGGTGAGGCATAGCTGCATGTAAGTAATGTAAAAGAAATTGAATGTGTTGCTAAAATAAAAAATATGGAAGTGGTTGACAGTTTAGACTCCTGAGCAGTCAAAAATGCCTTGAGAAGAATTAACTTGCTATTGCTTTTTTCAGGATTCATTGCAGCAGACATTAAAGGCACAGGCTCTTGGACCCAACTGTATCTGATCACTGACTATCATGAGAATGGCTCCCTTTATGATTATCTAAAATCAACCACCCTGGACACAAAAGGCATGCTAAAACTGGCTTACTCCTCTGTTAGTGGATTGTGCCACCTACATACGGAGATCTTCAGTACCCAAGGCAAACCAGCCATTGCCCACCGTGATCTAAAAAGTAAGAACATCCTGGTGAAAAAGAATGGAACCTGCTGTATAGCAGATTTGGGCTTGGCTGTTAAATTTATTAGGTGAGTAGAGCTAAGCAGGGTGAGGGAAAGTTGGGTAAGAGCCACATGCTGGTTGTGTTGTATGCATGAGTTTGCATGTGGGAGCTAGCACCTGTGTCTTGTGTGCATCACTTCCATGCAGTGCTCACCCGTACGTGAGCTGCAGCTGTCTGGGTGAATGTTGCAAAAACACTAACCCCGGTGTAGAAGCAATTGCTTTCCAGTAATTGTGCACATCCATTGCATTTGTGTAAACATTCAGTTTTCATCGCTGAATGCTCACTATCAACCTGCGTATTTTAACTGCCGTGTGTTAAAAGGACTTTGCACAGGCAGGTTGAATTCACATCAGCAAACTTGTCACTGAAGCTATCAGCTTGTCTGATAACTAAATAATTCATAGATAACTTATATCTAGAGTAATACTAATCATTTGCACATGTTGCTAATTGGGATTTATTGAAAAGCACCCCATTTGGGCTGTGTTTTGTTTCATTTCCAACAAATCAAATTGCTAAAGTACAGATTTGATTTTTGAAATGGCTTTTAAATTTGATTTTTAAAAATGGTTATGTGTTTAAACAACTTAGAAGGAGCAGACAAGTAGGACTTGCTTGCTCCAGGGATTCATAAAGAAGTCATTTCTCTCTGACAGCTGCTTGCTCTGCTCACAAAGAGCCTGAGCTCAGTGCTGGTCCCAATGGAGATGTGTGTTACGAATGCTCTGATTTTTCCAAGCACAGAAATGTGGCCATAGACTGAAGGTTTCCATTTCAGAGGTCAGCTTTGAAACTGCGGGCTCCCTTAAGTATGTATGTATAAAAAAATCTCTACAGATCTTGAAATTATTCAGAAAATATCGTAAGAGAAGATGGTTTAATGTGCCCTTCTCACTAGCAACTTATATGCCAGCTTTCTTGATGAGGTCTTTCCTTTATGAAGCTGACATTTCTGTAGGAGATGAGAAATGAACAATTTTACATTGGGGAGCAGGGGCCTGCAAAACAGTAAGTAAGGAAATACCCTGTTCACTGTAAAAGTTTCAGGGAAGAAATTCATCCTTTGTAGGCATACTTTAACTGACAGATACAGGGTAGCATACTGCTTAGGTCGAAACTGGGAGCTGGGAAAGACCAAGGCAAGTTATGTAACTCATTATCTGAATGGAATTTACTTTGCATAGCTTGTTTTTGCATAGCTTGCATAAAGAATCCTTCCTTAGCATTTCCCAGGCAAGAACCAGAAAAAAAAGTGGTTGAATGGGATGTATCGCATTGAGCATAATGAGTTCAGTAAAGCTTTTTGCTTTTCTCATTTTATTAAAAATCTGGTGAGATAGTGCAGGTCACTAGATTTATGTTAGTTCTTGGAGGGATACACAAATGCAACCACCATATGTATGATTTAATGACTGCGTAGGTGACTGGTTGTATCTGAGGTCTGGCTTTTGTGTGTCATTTTCATACTTGTAGGTGAAGGAAATTACAGTTGTGTGATTATTCTTTGAGATTTTGTTGTATCTGTCACATTTAAAAGATTCAGATTTGGAAGGTGAGGAAATTGAAACAGACCTTTCTAAATAAGCCTCAGTGTATGCCTGACACTAAACTTTTGAACACTTTAAAATTGCTACAGTTGAATCTTAAGTAATAATGAGAAAAAAAATATCCAGTCACACATTTACTGGGTGTTTGCTTCCTGTTAGAAACACATTGTCTCTTCTGGTCGGTGTGTGAGAAGTGACGCCTTTGGTTAGATTTTTTTACACATTTCCATCTGTGTGTTTGTACTCTGTGATGTGTAGAGCAGAGAGAGATCAAACATAATGCGTGCGCAAAACATAGACTCTTCTTCATTGCAGACCTGATTTTCTATATCTAAATGATACCGCTGGAGCTATTTAGTGTCTTCCAATAATTACTAAGACTAAAGCATTATGTGGTGGAGTATGTTAAGAAAATAGCATTTAATGAAGATTTGATTGTTATCACCAGCATTAGAGTTCAGTCTAATGCTAATGAAATTTCACAAATGTTACAGCATCCCTGTTGAGTCTTATCTCCATTGTGGTTCTGCATTTGGATGCTTAATACTGCCTGAGGCAAGTCAGCCTTTTAGGAAGAGTTGTGTTCACACTAAGAGGCTTTCTTTGTAAGATTTGTTCCATTAAGATTATGCACTACTTTTGACCTTGTTTGAGAGTGAATGTGGTCTGAATTTACTACTTCTCCCTTCTCAGTTACTTTCTTTTCAATCTACTTTTATAGCATATTTGATGCCTTTTTTTTACTTCTCTTTATTTTAGTGATACAAATGAGGTAGACATCCCTCCAAACACCCGCGTGGGAACAAAACGCTATATGCCTCCTGAGGTGCTGGATGAAAGCTTGAACAGAAATCACTTTCAGTCATATATCATGGCTGATATGTACAGCTTTGGACTCATCCTTTGGGAGATAGCCAGGAGATGTGTGTCAGGAGGTAAATGACAGTCTTACCTATTTGATAGTTGGGAATTTGCTTTTAATTGTGTCAGTGAATACTATGATTTGATTGTAAGCCCTAATGTTCCAGTACAACCTTTTCCCTCTTTATTATTTTTAATGTAGTAAATACATAGATAAACCTTGCATGTAATTCTCTTAATTTCTCTTTTCTACTTGAAACTTACTTTAAAGCATCTGTCAATGCTACTGCGAGAGCAAAGATTTATACTGTATTTTAGTGGCTTGTTTGAAGGCAGCAGATGCTTGCACTGTGGAAGGAGTTTGAGACTAATCTTGGTGCTTTTTCTAAAGACAACACATTTTTTTTGGACTGGAGGCATTCAGCTATTTTCGCAGCAAGAACATAGTGAATTTTTCTTTTTCTTGGAGTTAAATATAAGAAGAAATATAAACAGTTTGGGAGGATGCAGCACTGCTATTTAAAGTAAATAATCTATTTACAAGGCAAGTAGAAAAGAACAGGAGGAAGTGGCACTTATTACATCATTTGCTGTACCAGTCATGTGCCTCATTTCCTTCTGGTATTGGGCATTCAAGCATGAGGAGAGTGATGAAGCAATGCAGCCAGCTGCAGCTTTAGGGTGAAGAACCCTTCTTGTCTGCATAGGCCATGTGTGTTTTCTGCACATATTGTTCAGTGTAGTACAGAAATGATGGCTGTTATTACCTCTATTTTGCCACTGAGGAGATTTAAATGCAGAGAAATGACTTGGCAGCAGTTACACACCAGATTGGTGGTGAATAAAGAGCAGAGCACATCTCTTGGGCCTGTGTTACCTTCGCCAGACTTTATTGATTTTTAAAGCCTCACAGTGTTGTGCTGAATGCTTGCTGTGGGCTCACCTGAGAGGAGCTGAATTTCACTGGTGAGCAACGTGATCCCTGTATTTGCACACTGGTAGAGTAAATTGCAGTGATTTTGCATACGGTCTGTAATGATATTGTCATCGCTGCTGTGCAGAAAGAATGCTTTGCCATTTCCTGAAAAAGCAGGTATTTAGTACGTGCCAGATCCACTGATATGAGGTAAACCTAATTCAGAGTTCATTATCTGCATAATTGCTCTGATAGGAGCCCACTGCTGAGAAATTATTCTTTTTTAGCATGACTTATTGGAGCTTGCTAGACTGGACAACAATGATGGAAACTGTCTCACTTGACAAGTAGCTAATGATTATGTTGGAGCTTGACTGTAACATGAACTTTCACAGTGAAGTCCTTTTTAGAAGTGCATTTAATTGTTAACCACTAGGGGGATTTTCTCAGCAAATTGTGCTTATGCTATCTTTGCTTTAACTCTGAGAAAATCCATTTCAGAAGAAGGAATGGCTGAGATTAGAGGAAGCAGTGGATGAGTAATAGATATGGAGTGCTGGATATGCATGTCCCACTGCCCTACACCAGATAAGAATGGCAAGGGTTAATAAAATAAGTTTGCCCTGCAGTGAAACCATGAGCTAGCTCTTCTTTTATTGCAGTGAATTCATGAAACTCAAGCAGGAAAGGCCAAAGTGGAATAATAGTAAGACAAAGTGGACAAAACTTGGTGCATGGCAGAGGGCAGCACTGTGTGGTCAACAACAAGAGGCTAGTGGGAAATATCTTCTTCAGTGATGTGCAGCTGCTGTTTTCTTTCAGGAATAGTGGAAGAATACCAGCTTCCATATCACGACCTTGTGCCCAGTGACCCCTCCTATGAGGACATGCGGGAGATTGTGTGCATCAAAAGACTACGTCCTTCATTCCCCAACAGATGGAGCAGCGATGAGGTACCATCCTTTAAAACACAGCTTTGTTGCTTAACAGGGCATGGGCTCAAATTCCTAATATTTTAAATCAGAATGAGTAAATGACATTGACCTAGTTCTGTGTCATTTTGAGTAAGGAGGAACTTCACTGCTGGTGCAACCAGGCTTAGGAAGGAAAGTGATGTTCTCAGAGATGCCCACTGAAGCTGCAGGTGTAGAAAGCCCCAAAGGCTGCTGCCTGTCTACCAGATCATGTATTGACAGCAGGCTGAACCTTTCTAGTCTCTCTGTATTCATCTGCTCATTTTGCTTTCTTTTCCCAGCATTAATAACAATTCAGTGGCTAACTAAACATTTTGGAAGCTAAATTATTTCTTAGTGCTGAGTGCACTGATGGTGTACATGGTGTACTGGCTGCAACTTCAGTGGGTACTGGTACAAGGAATGTGATTCCTAAGGTTTTTACCTTAAAAAAAAAAATAAAAAAATCAGATTTCTTCTGTCTAATCAAAATCAAGTCAGCATACAGCTTTTCTGTGATCACAGATGTACAGTCCTGAAAACCTGATTTTAGCATCATTTAACATTAGCATTAGTCTGTGGTATTATACTTCATACTTAAGGTATTAACATGCAGTGCTAGCACTACATTCAGACTGCACAGAAGAGCAGCCTTTATGTCTTACAGGAGCAGCACTTCTTTGCATTGTAGTAAGGAGGTCTACTGATGCAGCCTTTTGAAAGAGGTATAGGACTCGGAGTTCTTTCCAGAGTCAAATCTTGATGTAAGGGGAGTGCAGGAGAACCTGAACAGTCTCCACTGAGAGTCTGTAATGAAGCAACATGGTGCTGGTAGAGTCAGAGACAAACCATTGATGTACCAAAATTGCTCACTGCAAAAAGTGATTCTATGGAGGGGTCATTAATCACATTAATTGGTACAGCTTCGTGCTATAAAGTCTTCTACAGTCACAGAAGACAGCTGTCATTTGGGAACAGCACCCTTTAGATGAATTTTTGGAAGGCAAATGAATGTTTGAGGTTACACAGATTATAAATAATTTGGGAATGTGAGGGAAAACAAAACAGCCTTTCCGGGTGACTTGTGCCACAGCCTGCGGGAAGGTGTGCCCAGGGACACAGCCTCATGGCAGCTGCTGAGCCTTCAGGCAGGATGGTCACACCAGAGGCAACATGTTTTGTGTCTATCTCTAGGTAGGCTTTAGTGTGCTTGAAAGGAGGTGCCAGGTGCAGAGCAAGGCTGCGTGTTCCTTTTGAAAGCCAGCATCTATGTTGGTTTCCTTAGAAAAGACTCACTTCCCTTTTGTTGGCCACCAGCTGCAGTCTCATCTTCCACTGATTTCCCTTCCGTTTCCCCTCACAGTGCCTGCGGCAAATGGGGAAGCTCATGATGGAATGCTGGGCCCATAACCCTGCGTCCCGACTCACAGCCCTACGAGTCAAGAAAACACTTGCCAAAATGTCAGAGTCTCAGGACATTAAGCTCTGATGAAGCAAAAACAACTCCTTCTCATGAAGACCCTTGGAAACAGACTTTCTCTTGCAGGCAGAAGTCATGGAGAGATGCTGATAAGTACCCTGATTGCAGTCGTATTTAAGAGCAACTGTTTGTTTGACAGCTTTGAGGAGATAATTCTTAGCAAAATCAGCTGAATTTTGGCATGCAAGGCTGGGAGAGGCTTATCTGCCCTTGTTTACACAGGGATATACAGTTTTAGTAACTGGTTTAAGATTATGCATGTTGCTTTCCATGAAAGCCACTTATTATTTTATTATTATTATTGTTATTATTATTTTGATTGTTTTAAAAGATACTGCTTTAAATTTTATGAAAATAAAACCTTTGGTTAGAAGTTAAAAGGATGTATATTGCTACATTAAAAAAAAAAAGGATGAAACTGTGCTGATGATGGAAGCAAAGCGACTTTCTCATTTATAATGAAACTCTTGCACTCCAGCATTTAGAAAAAGAGAGGGTCTGAGCATCTCGGAGAAGCTGCAGTGGAAATCATGCTGAAAGCCACTTCCCTGGCATTGTCCCACAGTCCTGTGCACGTTGGGGATTGTCCTCCTGCAGACAGAGCCTGGTTATGTCCCTACTGTCATAAATGTGGAGGCAGAATTCTTGTGAGTGCCTGCCCCTAGGGAGGTTGCATCTCATTTAGGATCACCCGAAGCTGTTAGGACACAGCTCCAGCATGTTGCTGCAACACCTCATGTCAGCTGTCATCTCAGTGAGGGGCTGGTTCTTAGCGTTCATCCCAAAGCCCCTCTTCACTCCTAGCATCACCAGGCACCAGTTGGAATGCTGCAGCAGGTGTAAATTTAAGACCATATTTTTAGGGCACCAGACGTTGATGAGCATTTTGACATGAAATTATGACTGTTTTTGATAGCTTTTCAGCAACCTTGTAGCCTGCACACTACGAGAGTTTCCACCACCAAGCTGAGACTGCGTAGCATCTCACTGGTAAGAGTTTTTGGAAGAGCCTCAGGCAACACAGTTATCTCTCTCTTTTCCTCCATCCTACAGCTGCAGCAATTACAGCCATGTAAAAACTGAAGAGGGAATGAGAGGCAACAGGACAACTAAATTTTCCCTATGAAGTATTTTTCTGTGGAAAGGTCTCTGTTCTTCACCATATTATCAAAGCTGAGCTGTATGGGAGCTACCATTGTACACTTAATTATTATTATTATTATTTTTTGCCCTCCTGTGTCCTGTTTCACATGGTAGTGTTCAGTTTAATTTTGGAAAAGTTCCTTACAAATACTGCTTTGATTATGCTAAAACTATTTCAGAAGTAAAATAATTGCCATGTTGGATTTATCCTTAGCATTTATGCAATGCTTTTTTTTTTTTTCTTTTTGGACAAAACTGATTTATTTGTAGTAGGTAGGTAAGTATAATTGGGGTTTAGCTCCAAGGATCCCCGAAGGTATTTCTAGTTTGAAAAATTACCATTTAATTCTTTCAAGCTAATGGAGAAAAATGTGTAAGGTTCAAGAGAAACAGCGAGACTTGCATGATTATGGGTGTTAAAGTTTAATCAGAGGATTTTCATTAATTAGAGTGGTGGGTTTTTTTTTGTTTTGTTTTTTGCTTTGCAGTTTCCCTGCCTGTATCCAAAAATACCAAGCAACACGAAAAGAAAATCTCCGCAAATTAACAGTAAGCCAAATCCTGCCCCAGAGGGGGAATGCTGGTTTCCACTGTCTTTAATAAATAGAATACTTGCATCAAAGAGGCCTGAGTTTGCTGCTCTCTTTGAGTGCTTTTATTTGAAGATTTGTGGACAAAAATAGTACCTTTTTGTCTTAGAGACTTGACTCATAGGGTTTCCATTAATTTTCATTAATTAATTTTACCTTTTGCCTTTGTGCCCTTTCCCTTATGAAACAAACCTGATCTCAAAAGGGCTTGGATTTCTTTGATCTGACAAAGAGAATGGGAAATGCTAATGGCCAGGGTTGGTCCTGCTATGGCTGGTGAGGGGGTAAAACTCATGGAAACAGGGACGTTGTTCTGATTTTCATAACAGTAGGTGGTGGACTTGGCTGGTCCCACACATGACACGTGCAAGTTCAGTCCTTGCAGGTCCTGGGTAAGCAGTCACTCAGCAGGAAGCCTCTCTCCTGCTCTGTTGTATTTTCCTCAAATACAATTTTTTTTTTTTTTTTAACTTTAATGATGATTTATTTCTCTGAAAGTGTTTTGGAGGGGGTTTTGCTGGCTGGTGCCTCCTGCCAATGGTTTACTGGACACAATGGCTCTCCAAGATGTGTGCTGTCAGTGTGCTGTGAAAGTGTGCTTGTTCTCTGAACGAGCCTTGTTTTTTTTTCAGTCCAGAAGAAATCTGAAATACTGGTTGATAGGTTACATGAAGTGTCTATGTTAAGTGTTCAAGTTAATGTTTAGGGCTTTATATATATATATATATATACACACACACTGCTGGGTGTCTGGAATAACTTCAGTATGTGGGTTGAGAGTAAAATATTATGGATGGTAAAGCACTAAATAAAACGTAATATTTATTTATGAAAATGCATAACTGACAAATCACTGCAACGGTGCTATTTAGGAAAATAAATATATATATATATGTGTATATATAGATGAGGAGACACACACCTGAGAAAGCAGAGGTCTGCATTTATGTGAGTAACTGCCCATTTTCTTCTTAGACCCAAAAGGCTGCACTTTCCCCCTCAAATCTCCTACCCACTATAATCAATGACACTATAAAGGTGTATTTCCTAAGACCTGAAAATGGCTTAAGGCAAGCTTGGAAGTTGTTTCTTTTAGCACAGTGACATTTGAGTTGCTGGCTGCAAGGTTGACTTTATGCAATACTTCAGATGAAGTTATTACAGTTTTAAGGTGCCCGGTGACACACATTAGTACATTCATTTTACCAATTATAGACTCTTAATGGCATTTCCAGATTTGGTAGTTTCACAGCACGCATTGATTTGGGCTTGGAAATTGGTAGTAAAATTAATTGGTGTTTTAATGCTGTCAGGTTTGGTAATCCAGTTTTCTAATGGGGAAAATTTAGTTTAGTGACTTACTGGCATAGACAAGATGGCATAGGGAGACAAAGAAAAAAAAATACAACAAAGAGGAAGAGAGAGATGCCACCTAGCAACTGCTATCCTTTCTCTAGCACAGAATTATTTCTATTAAAGAAAAGGTTGATGATGTAAAGACTAAGAAACTAATTTGTGTTCTTTTTTGAGAACCAGTGCCTTATTAAACCTGTAAATACTGTAATTAGAAACCTGGGGAACACACTGTTCTGTTGTATTTGTTCAAATTGTATATGGATGTTTTAACGTTCCCCCAAATAAAATTGTTTCCATCTCCCCATGAAATAGATTGCTTTTATTTCTATTTACTTTTCACGCATTTGAAAAGCACTACCTTTGGGTTTTGTTTCACTGGCTAGATTGTTTTGACCATGACACATTTTATTTATTTGTTTATATAAGATTTTTCCATGGCAAGGAAGTTAACAGTAAGATGTCGTGTGTGTTTCGTTGGCTTTAAAAAAAAAAATAATGCATCACTCCTTTCACAACCTAGTGAAGAGAGAAATAGTAATTATAAGTGTTATCATTAATAGAGCAGTCACTTGCATTTTGTGGCTGATTATGAAAATTCATAGAAACTTGGCATTTGAATAATTTTATGTGAGTCTCCTCCCTCCTCCCATCCATTCTTCCCCAGTTTATTTATTAATTATGTCTACTTTTTTTAATAGAAAGAAGGTGCAGAATGTAATTGTGTGCAGGCTTGGTTTCCCAGCCCAGTGGTTCAGCACTGTGTCGTAACTCCAATATATGTCATATATAACCTCTCTCTAACAGAATAGATTATCATAAGTTGAAACAAAAAAGACAGGAGACAGTGGGCAGAGGTTGCCTGCGTCCTATTTTTAACAGAGAAGCCAGAGGAGAAGAGGGGCCACTGCCCACTGGAGGCCTCATAGTGACACTCTTCACTTGCAACCATGTGTATGGGAACTGCTGGAACTACTGATGGAGCACCTGGGGAAAGGATCCAGTCAGCTGTGGGAGCACAGGTGAAGGCAATTCACCTGTGTAACTGGAAGGGGTGGAGTCAGGCTGCACCTCTCTTAGACCTCATTTAAGGGCTGACTGCCATTGGGCAAGGATCTCTGGTTGTGGATCCTTCATTGGTAAAGCTTTCCTCTGCGAACCTGGCATCTTCTGATATGAGTAAGCAATCATCTTCCCTTCCTTTATAGCGCTTCTCTATCATGCTGTCATGCTGGTCCTTCTGTCAGCATGCTTTTATTGTAATGCTCTTTCCATCGTATTGATCTGTCCAATTGCTATACCATGGCACACCCCGGTGGTGTCCCACATGGGCAAGGCGGCCTGAGCACCTGGCACATGGCCACTATTGTAGCTCACATCAGGAATGGCAATAGGAGGAAATTAAAATTAAGATACTAAATCCTACAAAAGCTTTCTGTAATCCAAGCCCAGGACAGGCTAATTATTGTAAAGTTGTGCCCTATTCCAGCTGGCCTTCAGGATCCAGCAAACCTGGCACAGAAGCTTATTGCCAGTTTCTCAGCTTTTGGGCTGTTTTGGGCTGTGTTCTGCCTTTTTTTTTTTTTTTTTTTTTTTTTTTTTTTTTGCACAGGCCATGGTAAGCAGAACAGGCTCCTCAGTCCCATCTGACTTCTAGCATGCAGCTGGCAGTTTCATGGGGGCCATTCCTCACCAGCACCCCACGAAGGGGCAGCCCCATATGGCCATCTCAGCCATACACCTGATGATGTGTTTTCCTGCCTGTTGCTTTTTGCCATCTTTGACTGTGGTAATGAAATGCTGCCCTAGAAGAATTACCCAAAGTGATTCTTCCCCAGGTCTCTGGCTGTTCTCTGTGGGGAGATGGGCTTGAGGTGAGAGCTGGTGTACTGAACAATATAGTGCAAAAAAAGCTGTATTACAAGGAGATTTTATGCACGGAAGCATTTCTTTTGAGTAGTTTGTTGATGTTTTAATTAAACTAAATTAAAGGCCCCTTATTCCTTCCAACCAGGAACTAAACCATGGAACTAAACAATGGAACACAAAGTAGTAGTATATTTTTTTTTTCCAGTTGCTTATAAATATAATTTATTACCTGTTTAAAAATTCTTTCTTACACTTTGTACATGTCAGGCTGACAGAATAAATGCAGGCATTTACAAACAGAGGAAAGGAGAAAAAGGGAGGGGGGTAAGAGGCACACTCAGAACTAGTAAACCACACCTCCACTGTACAGCAATACAAATAATGCAATGGCTAGCACTTCTCCGGTAGTAAGTCTTTAGAAAAGGAGTTGCATAGAAGATACAGCAATAGGGAAATCAAAACCAAAATACTTCTTCATGTCTGAATAGCAAAGAAAACAAATCCCACAAACCCTGGCAGACCTGCAAAGGTGAGAACTGTGAACAGGAGGAAGAAACCTAGTACATCTCCACGGCCTGGATCACACAGGACCCAGAAGAATTGGGCCCTCCTTGGACACTTTATGAAGGTACAAAAGTAAGTAAAGTACTTTGCACTTTATAAAGGTACAGCCTTTACATTTTCTCTCTCTTCAATATTAACAAACAGAATATATGTTATCAAACAAGTTGACCACACAGATATGCCAAAATGGTAATGCCATGACTTCTTAATTGTGTTATGCACCCTCCTTTGACATACAATATGGGCTCACTCTTCAGGGAGCTTTTTGCAAAGCAGACCTGTAAGATCGATGGGAGAAGACTGTTTTACTTCTCATTCTTTGTAATTTTGTTTACTTTCCAGGCTGATTTTGCTTTTATTCTTATTGTTTAAGCTCTTAAATTTATGGCAAGCTGTAGCAAGAGCCAGCTGGCAGCAACCAAAGAGGCTGTGCAAGCTTTTCTCATCTATGGGCTATTGTCCCACCAGCTGCAAGCCGACAGCTGGAGACCAGCATGCAAGACTCTGAGGGGCACCTCACTGCTGTAGGATATCCCTGAGAGATCATAGGTGACATTCTGCTTCTTCAGGCCATCTGGAAGCTATGTGGATGCTACAGGATGCTCTTGGAGAAAAGGCCAGACCCAGGGTATGGTACACACAGCTATTAATTTCTTTGATGACAGTCAAGGAGACTCAAGCACTGTTAAATACACTTAACCAGTATCACAGAAAATGTGGGACACCTATTCAGTGATAGAGGTTAGTGAGAACTCTGAGTTATCGCTGCTTTTTTATACAGTCAGAACTTATCGAAGTACTTTCAGATAAAGGGATTTTCAGAATTCAGGGACTATGTGCCAAGCTTAAATAAAGCACAGGTAGGTAAATAAATGGAATGATTCTTTTTCAAGCAAGGAGCTAGACCTACTAAACTTGAGAGCTAACTTCTGTGGCTTTGGTTCAAGACCAACTCTACTTCTGTGTCAGTTTTTAAACAACTGTTTGCTCTTGCAGTACTGCCTATCATCTGACTCTGCAGTGATGATACAGCACTGAATTTTGACCTTCAGCTTCCCCAGCAAAAGTTGGTCTAAAGAGGATGCCCATGACTAATTTTAGCCAAAAGCTTCCCACGCTAGATATCCTTTATTTTCACTTCTCTGTGTATGTATCTATATATGTATATATATATATATACACACACTTTGCGTTACTGTGGAAATCCCTCCTCAAAGAATGTCAGAGATGCATCCTTCAGCATTTGTAAGTCTGCAGTGTAGCTCAGTTCATGAACTCAAGCTTTCACACACAAGCTAGGAGTGAATTGTGGTAGTGACCCCAAAGTCAATATCTCATTGGAGCCTCACTGTGGGAGAAGGGCCAAAGATTTGGTTTTCATTCACAACCCACTCATATCTTTGTATTGCCTGACTAAGCAAGCCAGCCTGCAAACAGTCATTCTGGGGCCAGACAAGATCCCAAGCAATACCTGAAAAGATTTCTGAACACTCAGGAAGATAGTTTACAAAGTGCCCTTGGCACAGGAGCAAAAACTCAACAGTATCATCTTGTTTAAAATTAACCTCTGGGCTGCGGTACCTACTTGGATAGAGCATACAAGAGTCTAAAGGTCCCCCTACTCCTTCCCCATACCACCCCGCCCCCAAAACAAGAAGAAAAGAAGAACCCCAAAGAAACTATTTCAGGTAGCAATACAAGACATTAGGACTGTCCACAGCGATGGGCTTACAACACATAAATAGATTTATTCTACATATAAGCAACAAAAATAGCAAGAAACCCAAGCAACAGACATGTTTTGCTCTGTGTACATCCCAGATTCCAACATGTCTCATGAGTGTCTGCATTTCTGCCAATGATTTGGAAAAAAAGAGCCTCATTCTCACAGAGAAGCAAATCTTGACTCAAGACTTGTCTCACAACTTTCAGGATTCAATAGAACAGCTCTTAGGTCTTACACTGTTCAGCATACGCAAGGATCAGCTATTAATAGAGTTAAAAATGAAAAAAAAAAAAAAACAAAAAAACAAACAAAAAAAAGACAAAAGAAACCCCAAACAACTTTTACCCCATACGCTAACAGCCACCTTTACAAGAACACCACACAAGAAGAACTGAAGAAAATCGGGTGAAAAGGACTGTCTCCATAGCATTTCTAACTCAGAAATCAAAGATTTTCCTTGAAGTCAGTAGGAATTTTATATATATTTATATAATATATATATTATTCATATCACTAGCAATCAGCATGTACTTAACAAAGAGGTGGTATGAAGGGCAACAAAACTGATACAGCATGTGGTAGACAACTGAAAGGATAAGCACTTTAAAAAGTAGCAATAACTGGAGGATAAGAAGCCTGCAGCCATTTCCAAAAACAAATGCGCTCACCTGACATAAAAATGTTAGAATCATAGAACGGCTCAGGTTGGAAAAGATCTTAAAGATCACTGAGTCCAACCACAACCTAACCAAATTACTCTAACCCTAACAACCCTCTGCTAAATCATGTCCCTGAGCAAACATAGCAGCGATGTTACAGAGCAAATGCTTAGAGATCACTATCTGCCAAACTAAGCCCAAGTGATGGGACAGCCTTTTCCCAGACGGTGTTTCTCCAGTTAATGGAGCAGCGTGGCCTTCCTCTCAGGGCGCTGCCCCACGAGATGGCAGTGTGCCCACACCACACGGCCTCCCGCACGGCCTCCCACACAACTTGACATCACTGGCAGCCAGCTGGCCTTGCTGCCCACCCTCCTCTGTGAGGGACGCCAAGGGGTCTATTCCCCTGCTGCACAGCATCAACAGGCACTGCCTCACAGACTGGAAGAAATTCAAAAAAAGAGAAAGAAAATAGCTTTTTTTGGAGCAGGATCTCATGTGAGCAGCGGTGGCAATGAGGTGTGGATCCATGGAAGAAACAAAAGGCAGCTCACACATTCCCTGCAAAGGCAGATGGAGAATTGGACAGAGAAACTGTCCCATTTGTGACCGCAGCAAGTTTTTACCAGTCCGGATGGAAGACGACCAGCTCCATCTCCTGGTGATGGTGATGCCATTGCCCCATCAGGCAGTGATATCCTTCACCACCATTCATGATGGATCCTTCTATGTCTCAGTAAATCCTCTTTACAGTGAAACAGCAGAAGGATAATGCCCCAAATTCAAAATACTTTAAGAATATTACTGATCTATTTTTCTTGAAGTTGATATTGAAAGAGTAGGTCAAATAGCTCACACAGAAAGAAGTCTTGAAGTGAACCAGTTAACTCTGAGCCACTTCCTCACAATGCCCAGTGACAAAGGTGCATGCATTTCACACCTATCAAGAACTCATAGCTAGGAGTACAAGTGAGCCTAGATGAGAGCCTAAAAAAAAACAGGCAAAAGAGGAAGGAGCTGAAAGAAAGTCAAGGTCATGCACCTGCCCTGGGAAAGGAGTTCCACAGGAGGAATGCATGGGAAAGGTGAAGAAGCACACATCAGATACAGCTACTTACACCTGAAGATGGAACAGGAGGGAGGAAAGCTAAGACCTACAGCTCTAAGGTGGATAAAAAAACATAGGAAAAGGCAGAGCTGTAAGCCCTGGTCAAAGCCTCATGAAGTCAAAAGCAAGATTCCCATTAGCACTGCAGAGCACAGCGTAAGAAAAAAGATGGTTGGTTGTGAAAAAAATGCCCTCAGCATCTCCCTGTTCTGATAAAAACACAGAGGTTTACACAGGCAAGATGTTTAACTTTGAACTGGTGATGAAAGTTAAATTTTATGTCCTCAAGTCCCTGGATTTGACTGGAAGTCTGATTTGCATACTGCTGGCTAACCACTGAGAAAATGAGTGCTTTGTGATCACTGCTCAGTGTGTAAAGAAAGTACCACTGGTGTCGGAGAGCTGAGAAATTTAAAAAAATGTCCCAAGCCAGTAGAAATGTCAAATGGGAAAAAGGTCAGATGAAATTTTCCTTTAATTTTGACCAATGACATTTTCAAAGTTACCTTTAAAGGCACAATTTTGAAAGCCTTGGGTAAAGCACATAAAAACAAAACAAAACAACAACAAAAGAACCCAAGTCTGAGGAAGAACAGTAAGTGGGAATATATGCATGGGTGGAAGTGGCTGTTGGTGCATAATAGCAATAACCAGAGCCTGGTCTAAACCCGGGGTCTAAACCTGGAGCTGATGAGACAGAAAAGAAAAAAAAATCTTCGCATCAAGAACAGCAGACAAACAGAACTGTAAGTTAAACCACTGCAATCTTGTTGCTGTGTTGTATTTAAAGGTCAATCTTTTCACAGAGCAGAAAATGAAATAGGTTTGCAGTAACAACTGATAGAAATAATTAAAAAAATTAGGTCCTTTTGTCAAATTCCCATTCCACCGGCTTGCAGCAGCCAAGAGGGGCGTAGCAGAGGACTAAATGTACCCAACAGGCTAGCAGGGACTGCACCACACTGCCCATGCAGAGGGGCTGCAGGCAAAAAGCTGCAAGGCATGGGTTGACCACTTCACCACTAGATACTTGCCATGGCTTCCAGCTCAAGAGGAGAGTAAGAGATGTGCTGAGTGAGCCTCATGCAGTGGACACACAAATCAGGTACTCAGCATCAGTGCCTCCATACCCTTGCACTTGTTCTTCTGAACCAGAGGGTCTGTGTATTCGGCTTGGGAGACTGGATGGGACTGGCCAAGCAGCACCATTGCAGGCATCTACAAACCAGATTGTTTCTTGGAGTACTAGCAGACTAGGCAGATGCCAAACATCCCCACTAGGTTCAGATCACTGTCTTCAGTGAAGCATTACCAGTTTTTATACCCTTTTTGCATCAAGCATTATGCACAGCAAGGCTAACATGGAATGACCACCCCTTCTTTGCTAGCAGAGGTCTCTGGAGGGATGACGGACAGAAGGGAAGAATGGACAGCATATAGAGGAAAGCTTCTTAGAAGACCTTCAGGAAGGGGACAGTAGGTTCAATAAAAATGGGAACAACTTATCCTGTTGCTGACAAAACTACAAATAAAGTAATGATGATAATAATATTAATAACTATAATCCTTGCACTAGATACTAATAAGTAAATAATTATCATAGCAAATTCTCTTTTTTTTTTTTCCAGGCTTTTTTTGTTTGTTTGTTTTTCCCCCTAACCACTCTGAATTGCTATATGGTGGGATTGGATATGCAAAGTGGTAGAAAGGGTCTTGTTACACTTTGAATTGGAAACTGACTCCTACCCTATAGTCCCACTGTCTTACAGCCATTTTCCACCAAGGCTCAGTGGGGGGCTCCTTTCGGGAAAAGATGGGAATGGTATGTGTGTTCCTGCTTAGCACCCAGAGTACCTGCTTTCCAGATGCATGCCTCTTAAACACTGATAATTTTTTTTTGTTTGGTTTTTTTTTTTTTTTTTTTTTTTTACAGGTAGGTCTAGGAAACAGAATAATGACAGGAGGATCATTGTGAGACAATCAATATTCAGAATTGTAGCCAAAATCTGAATTCACCAGAAAACAATAATCTGAAATAGCCACAACCAACTGTCCACAGCCTTGTCTAGAATGGCTTTGAACAAAAAATATAGAGCCATGGACAGTCTCCTTACCCCTGTCCAGAATTTGATGTAAACAACATCCATAGAAACTGGGATTGTTAAGAAAGTTTATCCATATATCTGGATAGCAATAAAAAGCGTTTCCTAGGAAACTGTAAAATCCTGTACCAAGCAGTGTACAGCCAAGCCAAGAGGAACATTAGGTTGATTTATATTTTCAAGGTACAACTTTGCATGATTTCTTTTAGATCCTGTGATAATGTACAAGGAGAGCACATGTGAAGGTCAGGGCTGTATATTTCTCTGTTTGTTTGCTTTCTTTCTTCTCTGAAATGTCTCTTATGTAACTCATTGGTCTGGGTTTTCATTTCGAACACTTGCAATAATGGGGCATTACCGCTCCCTGTATTTGTCCTTCCTGTTCACGCCAAGGCTGCATCAGTAATTTCCTTCTGCTGCCAAAGAAACGATGGTTTCGTGTCGTCCCATTTCTTCTAGCACTGCTGCCAGCATGCTCAGGTTGCCATCAGGGAAATTCTGGGCTTCCCAGAGATCCAGAATCACTCCGGTGGGACTTGATTTTGTAGCAAAATAATTTAGGTACCTGCAAAGCCAAAAGGAGATTTGTTTCTTTGAGCTGCATGAATTCATACCCCTTTAGACCATCCCCATCACCAGTCAGGGTGTTCATCTACTTTGTGATTACTCTGAGCAGTCTGAAGTTACACCTTCTGTCACTCATCTCAGCAAGGTTTTCATGAAGCCCCTTTGCACCTACCTCCAAGGAGGCTTTGCATTCCCAACATGTCTGTTACCCTTCTCACCTGTCCAGTTTCAGCTTGTGGGCCAACATCCTCCAGTCATGGCCCCGGGTCTGGGGTGCATCCAGGCTGCTGCAGAGCTTCTGCCTTATTGGGAGTGGGATGCTGAAAGCGTTGGGCCCAACTATTGTTGTGATGCTGCCTGCTGAGTCCATGATGGGATAATCAGTGTCAGTGGGTTCCTGATATTGAAAGGAAGGCAAGAGACAAAATACAGTGGTTTTGTTGCTGAATGCATAAGCGATCACAGAAGTGTATCCTCTAAGAGTCAGTGTTTTTACTTGCATGCATTAGAAGAGCAGACGCACTCTGTCAATCAAGCATTTGTTAGCTGGAAAAGAGCCAGCTCTAGATAGACATCAGACTTTTAGTTGTCTTATTTTGGAGGATGAAGATTACTACGGTCAGACTGCATTGTGCACAGCTTAATTAATCATTCTCTTTAAATAAATATCAAGCACTTTGTCACATTTCAGAGCAAATTACTACTGCCAGGGCAGTACTGAGCTCTCCTAGCTTGGGTGAAATAATAATCTCTCAGAAGTCAATGAGAGCTGGTTAATTATTTGGGGCAGAAGCCCAGAAAAAAGCAGGAGTGATTTGCTCTCATTCCACATCTCCTGTTTGAATTTTCAATTGCTCTCATTTGCAGTGCGACCAGCCTGAGGTGATGCTGACAGAAGTGAGGAGAACAATTTTGTTCCTGCCTCTACTGGAGGGAAGCAAAATATTCATCCTTAAATGTCAATTTATTTGCTTCTCCTTGAGCTGTCCAGTTGTTTCATGTCAAACTGACTGCTGAGAAAGCCTCATAAAACCATCTTAAAAATCAGGCAATGTCCTGCGTTGCAAACTGGTTGCGCCAAGCCCACTTTTCTAGGCCACAAGCTATTGTCTTTGTCCTCCTTCTCATCCAGCAGTAGGGGCTGCAGAAGGACTCATATGCTACTGCTGCCACATCCAGACTCACTGCTGCTTAAGGATCCAGCACTTTATTCCAGCCCTTAGCATCCCAAACTCTTTTGGCCTTCATTTGGGTTGGGCACGTCACTCAGTGTCAACAACACGGAGCAATTTTGCAATGGGCAGCCTTGATAACTGAAGTATTATTCACTCCTTCTATTCATCCCTGATGGATGGGATCACTGCACAAGACATGAATATTATTCTGTTCCCCCTGAATCTATTACCAGGCCCTATTACACAAAAGCAGCTGAAGATGATTATAGTCTGTATTTGCATTTCATTAAAGTTACTCTCAGTTCTTTCTCTTCTCTGTTAGGTTAAATTAGAGATTACCTCAATGTAGCACTTATTACAGTAATTGTTTATGATACTTGTTTCACCATCTGTCTTTAATGCTGTATAGTCCCCAGCTGAAAATGGAGCTAATAACCAAGCAAATGTCATGGGTAATGATGCACATCATCATGGCTCTACAGTACCAACAACTTTTATCTATAACCTCCCAGCCTTTCCCCAAACCAGCAGCCACTGATGTCTGGGTGACACAGAACTGTGCAGTAAAAAAATGCCTCCTCTGCTGCCTCACCTGGCAACTCCAAAGAGATTTGGAGATGAAACTGAAAGTAGATTAGGAGAATAAATAACAAATAAATGCAATAAAAGATGAGGATGTGTTTGAGGTTTCCTGTGGGAGGTGGATTAATTTCCTAAATGCATTTTGTCCAGTAGGTCTTTGTAAAGAGAAAGGAGCAGCCCTTGAGCAGGGCAACAGCTCACTTACTCTGCTTTTCTGACATATAGAGCTTATAACGCAGTTCTACTCTGTTCCTCTGCGCTGGCCTAGCAGCATCTAAGGGATGACAGTGAATCACAAAATGAAGACAACATCTGAGATCCAGTAGCTACAAAAGCCATCAACACAAACACTGATGTCAACATTGCTTCACACCTGAGTGTGTCACTCACCCTCAGCTAAAATTTTTCAGCTATGGCAAAGGTGCCTCAAAACTTATGATCATTTTTCTACTGGAAAATGTCAGTCAGCAAAAGAAAAACTGTCAAAAATAATAACTGCGATTTGCAGCAGTAGCGAAGTCTGGGGGGACAAGACTGTTGCAACTAGACCATCCTATCCAGGAGCCAGAAACATGTGGTGCTTCATGAGATGTGCTAGGCAATGTTAGGCAAAGAGCTCCTCCATGGAGAAAAACGAATAATCAAGGACACCATTACTGCCCTCCTCCCTCCTTGAAGCAGGGTACTCCATTCCATATGACAGGGTAGAGAGAAAAACTAAGGGAAAATGCAAGAAGAGATATAAAGCAATAACTTAATCTCTCTCTTCCAATGATCTCAACAATCAGGAGGAAAATAAGAAGCACAAAAGAGTCATTGATGGGAAAGGCTATAACTCCTCAGTCCTCCCGTGTTCCCATACCAATGCCTCTTACCTCTGATACTGAGCAGTTGAGCTGGAAGATCTGCCCTTCTCCTTCGACTTGTCGCACACAGAGTTTGCAGACGAGCTCCAGGGTATTGAGGCTGAATCGTTCCAGCATGAAGGTGCAATGCAGGTTCCTCTGGCATCCACTCCAGATGTGGTAAAAAGAAATCTCCTGCAGGAGGAAAAAAAAGAAAAAAAAGGAATAGAGTATAAATATCAGTTATTTTCCACGGTCTCATTTCAGTTGAGGACTGGCTCAGCATTAACATGGCCCTAGGGAGTGGAACACTTTGAGGGACCAGGGCACTGATGTTATATGACTGGAAACTGAGCTCCATGCAGCTGCTACTGCAGATAGTCCAGGGAAAAAAACATCCATGGTCCTACAGCTTGGCAGCTGGTTTTCTTCAAACAGTGTGTCACTGTATTTCTTTAAGCCTCTAGGATCCAATGTTTTGTGATGCTCACCTGGTATTTAGCCAGCAGTTTGCTCTTCCAGAGAGAGTGGGCAATGTCATGAATGGATAAGCGGAGATTGTGGGTACTTCCCTTAAAATGCAAAGTTTTTGGTTCCTCCAACAGCTGTCCATCCATTTGCCGCTCAAGCTGGAGGACCTCCTGCAGTACAGAGAACAGAAGAGGAAAGAGGTCAGGCCGCATCAGGACAGCACCAAGACACCAGCAGTGGTCTGCTGGTTCTTCCAGACTGATTGATTTAGATGCTGTAACTACTTGTGAAAATGTACACAGGTGCTGCATGAAGTTACATTTCCCTATGAATAGCACTAGTGGATCTACAGATAATCCTCTTGCCCCCATCACACAGTAGAACCCAGGAGGGATACAGACTCTCTGACTCATGTGGGAGATACACCGTTACCTGATTCATCCTAGGAGCAGCAATACTAACTACATGCAACTATACTGAATGCAAAGATGCTATGTACTGTTTGAATACTGAAATATATTCACCCTTTCCACAGCTCAGCAAACTGGACATCTAATGTACCTTTACTATTTTGTATCAGAACGCTCTTGTTTGTGTAGGTACTGATGGTATGGGACATGCGGATGTGGCAGTCCTGAAACTGACAGCCTCCTGGCAAACTGATCCGTGATAGAGTTGGGTACAGGTGCTTACTGAGACTAACCATTGAGTGGGATGGAATCAAAATGAAAGTAAGACGCTATGACTGAGCATTTTGTATATACAAATACCTAGATTCAGGGTCAGCAAAATATTGAATGTGTAACTAAAAGCTAGTAAATCAAGAGTGTGGTCATTTTCCGCAGCTTAAAACAAAGATATGTCTCTAACAAATGAGATCACAGTGGACCACTGACGACAGAGAAACATTCAAATTGTAATTCACATGGAAGAAGTCAGTACAAAGGCTGCATGAGCTTCATCAGAAACAAATACAGCCAAATGCAGTCATATTTAATTACAAGAGCAGGCCAAACAAGCAGTCTCATGTAGCGAAAGCCAATCACATACACAGTGAACACACACCAGGAACACATGGGCACATGAAATTGGGCTGCTAGCCCAGGCTAACTAAAGGAGTCTCCTATTAGCTAAGGGTTAAACCAGCCACTCTTGATCAAGTTCAGCATCTAGTTAGCACAAACAAAAAGCCCACACTCCCAGTGAGCCCAGCTCCTGAGAGATCCCAAAGCAAAAATGTTTGCTTATCAGCAATTACAGGAAAAGAAAAAGAATCAGGAAACCTCTTAGATTAAGGTTATTTCAATGAGTCAGTTCCAGTGCCCCATAATTACCTCGTCAAGACATCTAAAGAGCAATCGATAGTAATTATCTGATTACTATAGATCTTCATTACATCCAAATTACCGCCCTGGAACAACCAGAAGATTGGCAGCACTGTGTGTGCTAATTGCAGGCTCTCACTCCCCACCTGTGGTCAGTCCAGGGCTGCGATACTTCAGGGGCAAAGATGTCAGCACTGCAAATTTGTGTCTGAGGTTGATATCCCATCATTAGCAGCCACCTCTATTCGCTGTAGCTCCACCAAGTGGAGGACACCAAGCAGCCCACAATTCTCCAATTTGGCTCAGCTAATTAATTCAGGGCCACTACCATCCTTTCCATCACTACTCTCGGCCCTTGTGAGCCAGGACTTGTGCTCTACTTCCTTCCCAAGAGAGGGAACTGCATAGGACATCACTCCATTACAAAGGACATCTACTCTTGGTGCACGGAACCTGCTTTGGCAGGGGGGTTGGACTCAATGATCTCTGGAGATCCCTTCCAACCCCTACAGTTCTGTGATTCTGTGATCAGCAGCACCACCAGCACAGCTACAACCTGTGTTGGAAAACAGCTTCCTCACTAAAGGAGCACAAACAAGCAAAGGCAAGAAGGCATCCTTGTTAGAGGGATGAATATGCACTAAATAACTGAGAGAAAATGGCATACCTGTTATGGTGGTGGTTTTTTTTTGTTATTGCATAGCATGAAGCATACTGGAGAAAGCCACCCTGCTACAGCCTGAAATAACTTATTTACCCATGGTGGGCCCAGTGCTCTGCCACCATCACCACAGACAGCTCAGTCACCTCAATTTCAAAGCTATATGTGAATTAAATGGGAATAAAACAGAAGGATTTCTTCACAACAGATTAGCTTGGGCAGCCCTTTCTAATTGCCTTAAAAAGGATGTTAGGGCTCTGGGACATCACAACACTCACTCTTCCACAGAAATAATTTTATGAGCATCCTATCTAGACACCATAGCCTACAACACGGTTCTCCTCATGGCCAGAGCACTGGGGCTGTTTGGCTTTACAGCCCTAATAAACCAAACAAGAAAATGAACTTCATTCCAGCCAAAACCATGACCATGCTCACATTTTTCATTTTGACCTCTCTTTGTTACAACCTTTTCCTTCCCAAAATTGTCTATTTCCAGAAAAAAATGTAACTTGTAGCTTCCAAAGAGCTTATGCCCAGCAAATACTTGTGCTAGTCATGCAAACCTCAGCTATCTTTGTCTTGAATAGAGTGTGCAGCAGCTTGTGCATAGCCATTCAGTCTTGAGGTTAAAGTGCCAAAAAATAGAAAATTAAAAAGGATTGATAAGTACCAGATGACAGTGTTTATCTGACTTCTCTCCGCAACCCTTTCCTCACCAAATTACAAGCTTGCTTTGGAGGGCTACTTGCAGTAGAAAACCCAATAATTGGTCCACTCCTCTCCTTATAAGTTGATCGCAGCTTCTCCCATGAAAGATGGCTTTCAGTTACCCATGCCCTTCCTGATTTCTTCAGCTGTCTCTTTGAATCGGATTAACGTTACCCTGCAATGCCTCCTGCAGTCTATTAGAAATAAGCCAATAGCTCTTGAGTATTACCTAATTTGATTGGCCCAGCTCTGACTCAAATCACTATCTGTCCAAGGCTCTGCCCAGTTACTTATTATTCCCTCAGGCTGGAAGGACTCCTGGAAAATCATATTACACAGCACAGGCACCAAAGAGCAAAGCCATGATGGCTTTCAAAGCATTTCCTCATGATCAGTACAAAAAAAAAATGCTTTCCACTTCCTTGAAAAAAATTTTCTTATTTATAGTGAAAATACTCCTAGCATCCCACTAACAAAGCCCAGGCAGAATCTTGGTAGCTAGCAGTATTTAGGATGTAAAGGGATTGTGCCATTTGCAATGATGGAGATGGGTGAGCTGAAAAGCAAGAGCATCTCCCTGCCAGCCTCTGGGGCGTATGCCCAAACAATTCCCATGCAGTGCTGGTACAGCAAACCCGTGCACAGCATAAGGATGTCTCTGCATAGAGGCAAGATGTGAACTTGTCCTGCTTTAAAAAAGCACTTAGGAAGTCACATCAGCTATGCTTAAAGGAAAAAAAAAAAAAAATACCTTTTAATAACCTCCATTCTTACACGTACAGTTGGAGCTACATATTTTATAAGTGAATCTATTATAGATACCATCTGTATAAATACACATTTATAAAGAGGAAAGGAAGCATGTTTATCTATCTGCTCATCTGTATGTGAAGGGAGTGCGTGTGTATATGAGAACAACAGAATTATGCAGTGAGGGTAAAGCATACAGTTGCAGTAAGCAACAGCTTTGGTTTATTTTGGTGCTGAACTCCCAGCACAAAATACTATACACAAAGAGGTGTAATGAAGCAGTATGAAAGCAGGCAGTGATTAACAGTCCAGAAGCTTCTTTTATCATTATCAACTATTTACAAAGAGGCATTTATATGTTTCCCCATCTCTGGGGATCTGGCACTTAGCATTAAAAATACATGAATAACGAATGAAGCCTGGCATACCTTATGGCCCTTTAATAATGCAAAAATCTTAGGATTCAGGATATGATACAGGTAAACAAAGGAAAAAAGGCTCTTGGGTGGAAAACAGTCTGGTACATGTGATCCCTTTACAAAAACCAACTTGCAGCGTGGGAAGGTTAAATTGTAAAGCAGCAGTTGCTGTCAGGCTCTCATCAGAAAAATTATCTAGGAAAATAAATACATGTAGCAGAACGTCTTGTCACTGCACTGCTGTCACGAGAGAGAGAAAAAGCAAGTATGAGAGCAACAACTACCTTCAGGGCATCCTGTGTGTCATCAAGGCAGTAGACGCGGATGCTGTACTCCAGTGAGGAGCAGGACAGTGGTCCAAAGATGGCCAGTTTGAGACGTTTGGCTGCTGCTTTGGTGATGGACTGTCCTACCAAGGCGTACGTGCAGAGGGTCTCTGTCAGGATATGGCAGGCCTCTGGATCCAGCTGAATATAGCATGGAGTGGTGAAGTTTTCCTCCCCAACCACCACTACATCCTAAGGGAGAAAAAGGCCATATTAGATCGCCTGACCTCTCAGAGATGCTATCCTTTCAGATCTCTTTCAAGTCTCAGTGATGCTCAAAGTCCTTGCTGTCTGCATCTTAATCAGATAAAAAAATATGAACAAATATAGCTGCCCTTCACTTCCTAAGCATGAAAATAAGGCCTTATAAAAGCTCAAGGAAAGGAAGTAACCCTTACAATGGCCAAATGCCACAACTACAAGAAATATCACCTGCTGTTTCATTGGAATAATCCTCTGTGATGAAACTGCAGGGTGAATGAAAATACATACAGCCTGAATGCAAACAGCTCAAAATAAAACAATTTGCCTGCTACCTTCTCCACTAAACCCCATGCAGCACCCTGTGCACAACTCAAGGAGCTTCGAGCAGTTTTCAGATAAAGTAGAAAGAAAAGGTCTGCAGTGGATTGTAGCCTCCTCTTGTATAGCTTTCGTCCTCTGCACCCCATCTGCCTCATTCCCATTGTCTTGAAGTCTGCAGCAGTCTGGGCTTAATAGAAACATGGAATTGAGCTTTGGGCCTATGGCATTCAGGATACATAGAATCACATAGTGACTTGGGTTGGAAAGAATCTTTGTCCTTCAGGAGAGCAGAAGACAAGGTGCTGCAATGCTGATTACAGCGCTGGCACCAGACACAACTGCTCTGTCAAGGGCAGTAAGGACACAGTAGAAAATGAAGAGATGCCAGTAACCCAAGCACAAATAACATGCATGTGGTGCCAACAGCCAGGCCAGTGGGGTGCATATTGGTTGGCGAGACAGGCCGGTGTGCGCTGCGTGAGAGAGAGTCGGTGCCATGGGCAGACAACAAAGCAAGACCTTGCAAAGGCTGTGCTGGACACAGCACTTCTGGCAGCTGCCAGCCTTCAAAAGCCACCCTGTCCTCATAAAACCTGCCAGTAGAATTTGCCTTTGCCAAATTAATTATGAGACCAAACTGGCAGCAGGCACCTAGGGGCAACAAAGTTCTCCAGAAGATGGGCTGGAGAGCTGAATTGAGCCCTGCTGAGATCATCACATCATGCTCCAGTTAGAAAGCAAGGTGCTTATGCTGCCCAGCCCCAGGGCACCCTCCTGGTAGAGGCTCCCATCAAGCCTGCATGGCCAAGGAACATTCGTAGAGGCTCCCTGAGGTAATGGGGTGTGGAGATCTGCTGACTGCATAAGCTGAACGCAAAGCATGCTCCACCAGCATCTTATGAGGTAGAACGAAGAGAAAGACAAGGCCTATCCATTTTAATAAGCTAGATGATGTCTTGATGCTGAAGCGAAGTGTTATTTTCAGCACTATTGTCTTGCTCTTGAAGAAAGACATTAAACAAAGAAAATTCAAAGTATTCTGTAAAAAGTATTTTCTGTTTCTAGAATTGTCAGAACTGATTTTCTAGTGCTCTTTTCTGTTTTACCTCTTCTTCCCTCCCAATGCTTTCAGCATTATAGTTCGCCATAGCCCAAACCCGGAGCGCCAAATCCTGTGAGGAAGACTATGCTTCATGGCACATTTGCCCCACCATTGCCCCAGGAATGCATTTCTTGCGGCAGCAGGCATCTTGCACAGCAGGTGGAGGCCAGAGGCCTGGAGACTCACCTCCCATGGTCCTTGGGCTGCCTGGTGCTTGAGCTGGATCTGCCAGTCATCCATGTTGGGCTCAGCACAGTGGTGCATGGTCAGCACAACGGGTCGTGTCAGCAGCGCTCCTGGTGGGCCACAGCTCACCACTGGTGTCAGCAGCGTCTGGCTGTCTTCTATAGGTGGTCTGTCATGAAATAGGGGGGAAAGGCAAAAAGATACGTTAAGCTAGGTAGAAAGAGCAAAAATCCTGCTCTTACAGTGTGGTTTGTAAATGGCTGTGTGCATGTGTGAGCTATCCCATCCCAAATGCTGAGGAGTTTGAAGCAGAGGAAGCACGAGTGACTTTAACTACCCTGACATCTGGTGTATGACAAACACAGCTGAATGTGCCTCATCAGCTGCCTTCCTGAAAAACAGAGAGGACAAATTCATGATCCAGAAATCAGCAAGCAAGAGCTAAGAAGTGTTCAGTGAAATCTGCACTTGGGCATAGGATCAGCCCATGGGACCCTGCATCTTCCGCTCGGTTCAGTTCAAGCGCATTTGCAAACACTTCTGTTTACATCACAATTTATTTTAAGGGGATTAGTTGAGACAAGAGTAAGTACTGTTGCAAGTCTGCATCAACCAAAAGAAAGAGTCAAGAAGTAGCTGTGATCTTAGGGAATATTCTCAAGGAGGTCAAATCAGGACAAAAGCTGAACTGAGATTGAATTTATTGCACCTACTCTGACTACTGCAGATACATTCACAGGCATCCTAACTAATCCACAGATACATCCTAATTTTACCCACCTTAAGCCACCTTGAATAATCCATTAATCCTACAGAAAATGAAAGAAACTTTTGAGAAATTCTTTTTTAAAAAGCAACAAAGGCCTTTTTGAAGAGTGTCTCTCATTCATACAAACATTGCGGGTTTCATAACAGTTTAGAAAAATGTAAAAAGATGGAAAAAATTGAAATGTACACAAATTAGTAAATCCAGATGATACACATCTGAGGATCCTTAAGGAAATTAACTGATGAGTTTACTAATGACTTCACAATTAAAAAGCCATGGGCTGGAAACAAACAGCTGTGGTAGTTGTCTTTCAAGAAAACCCAAAATATAACAATCTGTATGGTTATCATGAATTACACTGGTTGTTTTAGCCTAACAAGACAAATGATGCATTTAAAGCATCCATTCAGCTCCTGTTGCAGGCTATATTGATCTCTGGATTACAGGCTAACATCAGAGGTTTTTCTCTTGCAAGGATGGACTGAATAAATCACTGAGCGAAATTTGACTAAAATTTTTAGGTTCAGGTTTTGTTTTTATAAGAAACAATGAGTAGTTTAAAAATAGCTTACAATGGAGTGTATTCATTAATGCCTTAACATACATTTGAGCATTCTTGTGCAGATAAGTCAAGCAGTTTCAAGAAAGTTATTAAAAAATATTAAGTCTTATGGGAAAGTTTTTTGAAAATTACAATATTCATCTGGAAAGCTACAGAAATGACAAGCTATAGACTTAATCATCTGTTTGACCTAACTTCATCTAAAGGAATACTGACCCATGAAGAAGGAAGGAAAATACAAATTATCATAGTCCTGCAGACTGAATTACAAGCCCAGCAGCCAAAAAGAATATAGGAGAAAATATATCATGACTGATGTAAAAAATTCATGCCGTGTCTTCTAGGTGAAAAATGAGTTAAAATCAATAAGAATCTGAGCACTGATGCAAGCAGCTGAAAAAAAATAAAAAAAGCCAAAAGGTCATTAAAATAATAGTGTACTGATAAATCACACAGCTGAAAGTTGTCTCGAAGTGAAATTAAGTTTAGTCACTGCTCCGTGACAAAATTTTGTTAGCTGTTAAATTTTAGGACTCTGATGGAGAGCATGATTCTGTGCTACAGCATTTTATATCTGATTAGCACAAGTATAAACGATGGCACAGAAGATGAAGTTAGGAGGCACTGCAGACTGAACAGTTAGGGAGATGGGAAGTGAATACAACCATAGACAGGAAAAGGAAAAGAATAGCAAGGTTTAGTATTTTTCTCCAAGTTGGTATGCTGCTGGTCTCAGTGCCTCCAAAGCCCATCTCATGCAGATGCTGACCCACCTCAGCTCTCCAAAGCCTGAACCAATTTTGAGACTGCAAGTAATCTGAGCCACTTTAAAGCTTTAAGAAGCTGAGATAATAATGAGTTGTGGAGAATCTCTCAAGTGGTGTGAAACGAGGGTAAGTGTCATTTAATAGGTAAAATCCCAGCTCTGCTGAAGTCAGTGCTAAACCTTTCCCTTATTGCTGCGAGGCCAAGATTTCTACTCACAGTGTGGAAGACAATGTAAATAGCAGCACAATCATTAAATTTACAGACAGCAATATGTAAGACAATATTGCGAGACGCAATGGGAGACAGGAAACCATGTAAATGATTGAAGATAAAACTATTGGTGGGAAATAAAATTCATTCAGCAGCTCTCATTTCTGTACTGAAACAAATTCCAAACACTTGTATTTAGTGGTAAGGTAAAACAGTGAAATTGGAAAAGACATTGGGTGAACTTACTGCAACACAGCAGGTGTCACCTTGCAATGTGACATGGTTGCAAAAAGCAAATCTGAATTCTGGGGCAGTAGGGGATGAGGTGTCAAAGCACACAGAGCTGCTATTCCCTTTCCCACACAGCTCTAACATGACTGCAGGCAGCAGGGTGTTCAGGGACTGTGTCAAGAGCTTGGAAATAAACACCTGAAACTTGGAGGAATTAAACCATGCAGCACCACAGAGAGCAGAGTCACCCTGTGGCAACTGAAATGAAGAAAGAAACTCAAATCTCTTGACAGAGCTCTCCTTATTTCTCATTGTTTTTAATTTCCATCTTAAAACAAAAGGATTATGCCTTCCTATAGCTAATGAGGACCAAAACAGATACAGTAGACAAGATATATTATACAGGAGATATTAATCTTTCTGCTTCAAGGCATAAACCCAGCACTAATTGATGGGGTAGTAAACAACAAGTTTCCCTGAAGACAGGTTATTGTGCAGCTATTCATTACAAGTATTTTTCTTCTTTCTTCTGTAGCAGGTGATGCAGCACTATCGAAGTCAGGCCTCGACTGTTGCAACCAAGAACTGTGATTTCTGTTAGAGATCACTGAAGATCTAGCACACACTGACTCAGGGGACAACACAGAGAAAGAAACTTAGCTCCTCCAAAGCAAAAAGACCTATCAGCAGACAGGTTTAGAACTGTATTAAAAAACACAAAACAAAATCATCCAAGTGTACTCACTTTTGACTTTTATCAGTCTTTGGATTAGTTATTAGATAGGATTAGGCTTTCAGCTGTGTCAGTATGACTCCAAACTCACTTCACCGCAGTCATGGAAGCTGCCTTTACTTTAGAAAGACCTGGTCAAGTGTGGAATTCAACTTCATCTAGCATTACTATTAAAAGACACTAAGAATAAGTGAGAAGTCTTCAGATATTTTTAGACCTCATTCCATATCTTGCACTGCTCATCAAGAACAGTCAACTTTTATTTAAAAAGAACAAACTTTTATTCACTACATCCAGTCCTTTCACAATCAAATTTGTGTTCTTAATGAGATTGCTCATTTGAAACCGACTCTCTGTAATGAGGTGGACGGTTTTCATTAAGGTAGCTGTCAGAGAGCAGATGTGAGCACAACCAGAGAAATCCTCACTCGTTAGCGGGCTTCCTGGCACCAAGCATAGATGTTGCAGGCAAGGACCACAACTCTCCAAGAAATAGGAAGCTTACAATGGTGCAGTGAGCAGCATGGTTAACTTGCAGCAACAGATGGTAGCCCTTCCACACAGCTTAGCCATAAGTCAGAGGAAAGGCATTTTATTTCTCCTTTTGTTGAAGGGTCTTTATTTTTAACACATACTCCCTCTTAAGTATCAAATCTAATAATCTCAAATGACCTCCTGGTTTGTCCAAAAGTCTGTCTACAGAAGGAATCACAAATCTGCAGAACCACAGATAGTTGGAAGGGACCTCTGAAGATCATCTAGTCCAATCTCTCTGCTAAAGCAGGTTTCCTACAGTAGGTTGCATAGGAAAGAGTTCATGGGAAATTAAGGGCAGGGGGCATTGAATATTTCCAGAGAAGGAGTCTCCACAACCTCTCTGTGTAGTTTTTTTTTCCAGCGCTCTGTCACTCTCAAGTAAAAAAGTTCTTACTCATGCTCAGATGGAACTCCCTGTATTCCCAGTTTGTGACCACTACCCCTTCTCTTGTCACTGGCCAACAACAAAAAGAGTGTGGTCCCATCCACTTGACTCTGGCCCTTCAGATATCTTTTATGTTGATAAGATCTGTTCTCAGTCTCCTCCCAGGAAGGTGATATGAAAAATTTTCTTCCTCTTCCCCTCCGTCTAAAGCTAGGTGAGCTTGAGCTCAGCAGCGGCTCAAATAGGAAACAGAAGCTGCCATACGAGATCAGAACAGTGGCCCATCAAGAGTCAGACACAGGCCAGTGCTAGATGTCTCCATAGGAAGCACAGAGTTCCCCTAATTTAGCACAGAGCCATGTTTGTTCCATAACCTGAGGCAGTTAAGAAATCCCTGAAGTTTGGAGCTTTATACTCTTGCTATTCAATCCTTAATTGCGTAATACCTAGGCTTTTCCAGTTACTCAAGGGAACAGCCTCTTGCTGGGTAGCAGTCACAGCAGTGTGATTATTTTACAGCTCAAAAAGGGATTCCTTCTTGCAAATCTCAAACTTGGTACTGCCCCAGGCTAAGGGGGAAGACCAACTATTATTACTAACAGAGATTAGTTCTGATCCTATGAGCTCAAGACAGAAACTTGTCTGATTGGAGTGAAATATTCTCAGCCTTCCTATTTTTTCAGCTTTTTTAAAAAGTTATATGTACATACAGAAACATATTCATACATAGATATCCTTTTCCCCATTGTAAGTCACTTCTTAAAGCACATGAACTTCTTCATAAAACTAACACAAACCTCCTACACCAGCAAAGGGATCAGTGCCTGGTAGCCACCTACAATCCATTGTGCCCCATCTGACAAACAGAATGAGAATTAGTCAAAACAGCCTGCTAGAGTACTGGTTTGAGAACAGAAAAAACCCACTGTGCCATACTCACACTAACACACACTTGAAGAAAACAACTGTCTCAAAGAAGCCCCTATTGCAAGCTATCAGAACCCCAATTACCTGCAGAAGGATGTTTCTAGGCCAAACTGCGTGCTCACACTCTTTGATGGATGCAGAAATACTATAATGTGATGGAAAGCACAGCAATAATAGTAGAGTGACACAAGCCCAGGCTGCAGCAAATGAGAACAAGCCCAAATACAGCAGCCAAAAAAGCAAAAACAAAGGAAGAAAAACCGCTTACCTTTAGAAAACCTCTGGTAGGCAGGGATCTCCAGGAAGATACCCATACCTCCACTACCAACCTATACATAGGGTCTGGGAAGAGACAAATGCTAGCTCCATCCTTTCTGGTCACTCAGGTGCATTATATGCATTATATGCACCTGAGTTCCCCTGGGTTGGCCCTGCCTTCTCACCAGGTGCTCAATCACTGGTTCAGGCCATGAATTAGCATTTCTGCTATAGATCTAAAATGGAATAAATGCTGTATCTCAGAAAGCTTTCCTTACCAACCTGTGAGGCAACATAATGTGTGATGTTACTGGGTTGTGAAATCTCTCAAATTTCTGTACTACAGGTTTCAGAGACTAACTGGAGAAATGGATTAGGAAAACAAAGGAAAAGAAAAGGGGAATTTGCAGGACTGAGGGATAATAGATTTCCTGTTTCAGTTTGACTGTTCAGAAGTTGTCTTGTATTTCTACAAAGAAAGTATGAGCTAAATCTTAAGTCGCTGAAGATATGTTTGTGATCTGTGATGGAGAGCCTGTCTGCTGCTTCAGTGGTTTTACTTAGGCTAACGCAATGAGGACCACATTCTTGCCTCAGTGCCATTTATATATCAAGAGGATTATAATTTCCATTTTACAGTGTCCTATCTGTGCCCTTTCAAACTACATCAACGCACAATAGGGTTCTTCAATCCATGCACGTTTACACAGTGCACATGAAAATAAATATCAGCTCTCACAAGGTTTTATTGAACACACTCCAGTTACTGCTTGGCCACAAAAGCAAATGTCTGCAGTGAGTCCTCACTGTGGACTATCGCTCTCTGCTGGAGTGCTGTGAGAGCATGGTAACAGATTTAAAAAATAATTTACGCCACATGCTAACTTGTGGTACCCATATGACTCCAATTATACGAAGCAACATCTGTGGCCCATACAGGCAGAAGGAAGAGCTGAAGTGCAGTTCTGTGGCGGAGAGGGAAGTAAAAGTATTTGGCAGCACAATGCCATGGAAGCATCCCACTACACTTGGGTGCTGGTGCCAGTCAGCACTTTCTGCCTGTGGGCATCTGGGAAAGAGGAACCGGTAACAGGGGAAAGTATTACAGTTCCACTGTGTTTAAGTAATTTTTGGTAACTATTCACATCAGAGTGACCTGGGTGAGAGCTGATGAGCTCCATTTTAAATGTCAGAGAAGAGGTTGGTTTTCATAGTGTTCTGGACGGGGGGCTGAAAAACTGTTATACAGGAACCTGAAGGATCTGGGTCCATGTGCTCAGGATGCAATGATCGCTACAATGGGATAAGCTATGGCCACAGCAGCCTGCCCTCTGCTCACTTCACAAAATCTTCATTTGAAGTGAGGGTTCACACCTTTCCATACTTTTGCAGAGGTATTTCAGCATGCGTGCTCAGTTTGGTGGATGGCACCAAAACATGCATTTCCCAACACTGACCTATATTTCTACCCCTTGTGTAACCTGCTGAGTAACAGCTATCATGAAGCACACAGAAAAGGATTTATGATCTTTGAAGCCAATAAACTAGGCTAGCATGCAGTGTTGGTTGTCTACAGTTGAATGAATAAAAAGTTAGGGATTCTCTACATAGCTAGCTGGAAAGAAAATAATTGCATGTACAGCTCCTGCTGGGAATGAAACAGTTTTTTAGGGGAAGAATTAGATATTTAAAGGAGAGAGATTTGGAGGTGAGTTGAGTATTGGGGAAAGCCTTCTCATTTTCATTATTTTTTCCCTCTCTCCTTTTTAGTACTGTTTGCAAGGTTCTTTAAAACACAGCCAAAAGTAATAGGAATACAATCAATATTAAATATGAACAGAAACTCTTCTTCTGTAGCTGCAATTAGCTATTTTCAAAGAGCAAGACATGAATAATGTATGCAAAAGTGCAAGGGGGGTATGTTACTTATTTCTTCCTTAAGCAGATTATTTTTACATGGGTGAAAGACTACTAAGCTTAAGAATAGTGTTCAATATCACACAACGTATTAACAGATGTGGCTTAGCACACTATAAAAGCCATTAAAGGGCTGAGCCAAAAAACGTATCTAGCTATGGGGAGGACAAAGAGGCAAAGTACTGTGTAATGATTGTTTAGTTTTCCATTTCCAAATCATCCAGCTTTTGTTCATGAGTCCAATCAGCAGACTAAGATCTCACCTTCCTTTTCATTAAGGTTTTACTAAATTGCTTCAAATGGTATCTTGATCCTCATGGAAACTCTTTTTATGTCAAGGCTGCCAGATCACTCAAAAGACATTGAGTCCTGGAATATGAATCAGCCACGTGTGCATATAGAGGTCAGCAAGCAGAAAAGGGATTATCTAGTTGCTGGCTCTGGGTGGCCCATGGCATGGTGTGCTCTGGTGGCTCTGTCTTCATCACTTCATGGATGAGTCACGCCCATGAATAGTAAAATACAAATTCATCTTCCTTACAACAGGAGAGGAGGTTTTGCAAAGCAGGTGGTCAGACACCTGTCCCTCTGTGGAGCCAATTTGTCACCCTGCTACTCTGTTCTCTCCCTCATGGAATGGGTCTTTACTAGGACATTACCTCACACTTTCTCACTGTACTGGTTTCATGCTGACTTACTTTCTGTGCTTCTGGCTTGGATTCAGCATCCTCCAACCTGAGAGATTGCTGCAGAATGCAGTTCTTCATTAGGAAAGCAAAAGTCTGAGCTGGTTTTATGTAGAGTTGTCATCTTTGCCCAAGTTTATCTCCAGGTCATCAAATAACTTCAACATAGCTGGCTTTGCATAAGCAAACTATCACAGGTTTATAGTTATTACATTTTCTTCCACGCCCTCTTCCCCTCCATTAATGCACTCAAATAGTTGTGCACAGCAAGTACATTTTACCTCATGCTCTCCTTCCTGTGGACTGTCACATACATTTCATAGACTCTTCCTTGGGGAACAGCCCCTGCTGGGATCAGCAAACTCACTCCTGCAAACAGAAGAGACAAAAAAAGATAAAATGGAAAAAATATATGAAAAAAAAAGCCAGGTGAACCTTTGAAAAGGAGCAACAGGAGAAGCAGTAGGTGACATCTGCAATGCTAGATTTTTCACAAGAGGGCTCTAAATGAGTTTAGCAACTCTGGAGGTAAAGCATTTACTGCAGCCCCGGCATTTCTTGTGCCTCAGTATGAAATGCTGCAGCAGAGAAGAGGATTTTCTTCCTTTCCCTCTTATTTTATTTAAAGAGCAAACAGATGGTTACACTGCTTCTTACCTTGTAAAATAATGGAAAGGGAACAACTCCGAGTAAATTTTCCAGCAGCTGTAACAGGATATATCTCCCTAGGCAATTCCTATTTAATTAAAAGCAGGAAAGGAAGACAGTGGAGTACTGTCCCAGGAAGCAACAAGAACTAGTTGTTTCTTGAAAGATGGGCTCTGAAACTGGCATCATGTTTGTTAATGCACTCAGCTTCTAATTAGACTACCAGGGAGACAAAATGGGGCTTCTTGGTATTTTGAATGTGCCTGCTTCTGTGGAATGGCTCAAAATTTAGATATTCAACCTTGAAAAATGAGTGCAACTACACTCTCTGCCCTTTTCAGGACTGATCAATTGCAAAATTCTGTTCTTACATTGCAAGGAGATCCCCAGGAACCAGAGGTCATGTCCTTGCATGGCAAACATAGCTCAGGAACTCTGTGTCACGCTGCTGGACATGGCTCTGCCAGCTGTCTGTGCAGATGCGGGCTAGTGGGGAATCACTGGCAGGGGTTTGAATTCAGCTATGAATACGTAGCTCAATACAAACCTATAGGCAGATTATTTCCATATATGTATACTCACAATAGAGTTATAAAATCTTTCATGGCCCTCTCCTCTTCAGTGTACTTTGTTTGGTTACACCAGTAACCTCCCATGTACTAGGGTTGTACTGGGAGTCAGTCCCACAGCTGGCTTTGTATGGGAGAGATCAGCTGTGAAAGTGTTTTCCATTAAGGTTTTCTGACTTGTTTCCTTACATGACTGTTACAACATCCCTGTGCATGTTCTCAGATGTAGAGACAGGTGTAGAGTACATGAAGGACTTTGATCGTCTTATTAGGAGGATATACATAAGTTCATCTAGAAGCAGCTCAGAGGCGTATGCAGGAGTGGTAGACAGATTGATATATCTTCCAAAACTTGTTTTAATAATTTTGAAGAGATTACAGTTCTTTACAAATTGATATTAATATATATGAGTTAAATATGACTAATAGACTTTGCTGAACCATTCAACACCACAGCATAAGAAACCTGAGTATTAATGTCTACTCTCAGCTGCAGCTTAGAGAACTGTGAAATCTAGGATAGTATAGCATGAATTATCAACATTGCTCAGTAGTCTGTACCAGATATCTTTAAGCAGTTCAGCTTCCAATTAGGCTCTATGTGAAAAGGAGACACTGCTCCTCAAAGAGGAGTACTACTGCTTATGGCCCACTTTTGGCTGCATCCTAGGCAGTACAGGTCTTTATCCTGGAAGGAACAAATTAATCCTATGTCAGTCAGATGCTTTGCTTTCTCCATAACATCAGTGAACAAAAAAGGATCCAGTAAAGAAGCAAGAGACAGGGTAGGAAGTTTTTTCTTGGTCTGGGCACTGTGCTGTAAAATGACCAAGAACTGAACACAAGATATAAAGTTGGAAGCTGTGAGACTTTGAGCTATATGGTCTCACATGAGAGCATCTAGGTGTAAAACTTTAAATAAAAACATTTCATTTATGAACTAAATAGAAGCATGGCTTTCCTTAAAAACATCTTAACATAGGAAAAATACTGGCAGCACTTCAATGCCCTGTAACATTCTGTTAAAAAGGCAGCCAGGATTTTGGGAAAGTGAACCTTGAAATATTTTAGTTAATCTGATTGAATAAAACAGATCTGTTTGTTTTGACCAGAGAAAAGGCAAACTCCCTGGAGTGACCTTGTTTTTCTCTGTATAGAAGAAAGCTAACTCCACTTAAACCTTTGAAATATGGCTAGCACTTACCTGAATTGGGAATTACTAGGTGGCCCCCTAAGGAGTTGAAGGTCCCAAATACAGTGCAGGATGGGTCTGCTTGCCGTGCAAGGCTTTGGTTCTTCACATTCAATGTCTCATTCTCTAACAGAGACTGAGTAATCTGTGGGGACAGCTTGGAGGAGAAGTCAGAGAGTTCATCCTGGGGGGTGACTGCTCCAGAGGTGTTATAAACTTTGATCTTCAGATTGGGCAGTGGGTCCAGGATCGGAGAATTGGTCATTGGAATTTTATCTGAGACATCATGCAAGGCATACACAGGACCCCTGTACATGGCTGCAGCAGAAGTGAGGTCTGGTGGCACTGCCAAGAGGTCTGCATTGGAAATGAGAAAGAAGAACCATTCTGCTTATGATTACCTCTCTAATCTGACGACTTTCTTCTGCTTAATGATTTGGTTTTGCATTCTGTTCCGCTCATACCAAAGGCTAAGATATGCCAGGTACTCGTAAACTGACCTTCATACCTTTTCTAGGTACCTGTATCTAGCAACAGCCAAGGGCACGTGTTGCCTGAACTGCTCTGCAATCTAATTGTTATACAAAATTACAGTACATTTCTGCTCTAAGGATTTTTCACGGGCATTATTTTTCAGGCTGTGCTCAGATTTCAAGTGTGATATGCCTAGCCTCATGGCAAGGTGTTTTACATGCTCAATAGATAGATATAATAGTATTAATTAATACTCCTACCTTAAATGCTAAGAGATTCATTAAGGAATTTCTCAAACTGGCATAAAAACAGAATTTCTGAATTAGCAGAAAGAACAAAGCTATGAAGTCCTCGTGCCCACAACTCCCAGACAGTGTAGAACTAGTACCTGCATCACACAGAAAACGACACTTCTGCTAACCTTCCTTATAACAGCTCTCTTGTAATCCCAACTCTATTTTGATTTACTTTTCGTAAGCACTTATTGGAAGAAAAGGACTCTTCAGCTTAAATGTGAGCCTTGAAAGAGCCAGCCTTAGCATATGACTGTTTGTTTTCTGGACACCAAAGCATGGAAATTATCTATTATGTACTAGTGATAAAAATGTTAATTATTAAATGATATTACACCACAACCTCTTTTACATTGTCCACTGAAGGTACAGTACTTCTTTAACTATGCACTATTTATGCATGTAAGATAGGGCGCAGTAAAAGAAGCTATTAGTGAAGTAAAAGGGAAGCAGATGTGATGGCATTATATATATACTGTAATATTGCTCTTGCAATTAATCCTGCCTCCCTAGTTTATGTCTTAGCTTTGCCTTTGATGTAAATTTGAGCAGGACCTGTATTTTTATAAATGTCTGTTTCACTCTCACATTCACATTCTCCCTTCAGAAGTTAAATTCCTCTGCTGTATGTTCCTGAGCACATCTGAAAAAAGCTGCTGCGGGTTTTTAGTGCTTGACCATCAGAAACAAATGGATATAATCTTTCTCTCATTTATGAAGTGCCAACAGGCATCCTGCAGATATCATTCATATAGCCCTAGAGACCATATCCTTATAGTATCCCCCTGAATTGGTCAACATGGAATGAAGTGACAACTAACCTTGCCTTGCAGCCTTGATGTTAACAGGCTGAAATCCCCCATTTAGCGCCGACGAGTCGATAATATCTGACTCAAAATCACGGTGGTTCTTGCGATAGACAAACAGGGCCACAACCACAGAAATAGCCAGGCACACGATCACAGCAATGACAATCCCCACGTAGAGAGCAACATCATCCGAGTCAGGTGCAGCTAGAGGAAGAGAGGCAAGAACCTTGAAGAAATGCGCTTCTCACAGGGTCTTTTGAGGAAATACATTCTTATTATTCCCGTTTCCTGCAGATATTTACTACCTTTTTATAGGTTAATTTAAAATCCATTTCTAAAGCTATAAAGGTCTGTGCCCTTTTTATGGGAAATGATCTCTGTTTTCTCTTTAACTCGTGTTCTATTTCTTTACCTATCTACTCGTTCATCTATCTAGCACCCAGGCAATGAAGCACTAAACAAAACACTCATAACACAGTTAGTCTCATGAAACAAATTCACCCTATGAACTAAAACAGTATGTCTTCGAGATATAGCATCATAATATTAGTATTTGTTTATCTATTAGTGAAGATCATGTCACATGTTTTTAAACTTCAGAAGCCTTAGTTTTTAATTAAGGGGAAAAAAAAAAACCAACACAAAAAAGTCCAATTTCTACAGAATGCCTGTAGAATGTATTTTGTGATTTCTGACTGATAAGGTGTTGAGCCATTTTCTTTTGCCTTTAAAAAATGTCCAGGAAAGCAAAGAATCAACCACTGAATTCTCATTACTGGCACTAACACATATGTATTTGGATAAAAGCTAAAGCAGGCATGAGAAATAATGTGGTAATTTACTAAAAGGAACCCAGATTTATTACAGCTGTCTTGTGAGAAAATGGCTCTGATATTTCTACTAGCTGCTTATACCGTATCTTCCGCACTAATTTCAGGGTAATCTCCAGCATCATTATCAACTAGACTTTTTTCCAAAAGGCCTGAATACATGATCAAAATTTGATGTGTTTCTACAAAGTGAAAAATCCCAGCAGCAGAGACAATGCAAAAAAAGAAAATGAAAAATCAAATCAGACCTTTTTAGCAGCCCATTTTTGTTAATTTAAAACATGTGAAATCACTTTTATTTCATGTTTTGCTCCCCACCTTTTAGTAATTTAAGCTAAGCTGCCCTCCAGCACAGAGGTGAGAGTTGGCAGATGTTGAAAAGGACTGATCAAAGTCCATCAGCCTCTGGCTATGAAACTTTCAACATGCCAGCCTCAAAACAGCAGGACTTACATCCCAGCGGTTCAGGAAGCAGATCTCTGAGTTACAGCTCAATGCAAAGTTATCCCTCCACCACACTTCTTCCAATTGCTAAGGAAACGTTAACGAGAGAGAGGGCTCGTTCTCTCCATTTTCTACCTTTGTTGCAACTTCTTCTCCCATTTTCCCAAGGTAGAAAGGCTGTGATCAGCCTGTGTCAGCCCACTGATAGGGAAGCTGCTGTCAAACAAGCAGCTTCATTTGCCCAATCCATCTTTGGGGCATCTAGGCACACAGAGCTGGCACAACACTAAAGCATGACCCCAGGAACAGCATTGCATTAATGTCCAGGAACGTAAAATGAAACATTTAACTTACAAGAAAATCCATATTCATTCTGGGCTCTCTGTTCAGTTGAAATAGGATAAATGAAACCTTAAAAAGAAAGAAATTAAACAAAAATGGGAACAAAATCAAATTAATGAGGAGAACAAAAAAGGAAGCATGAAAAATGGTTTAATTAAAAAAAAAAAACAAAAAAAAAAAAAAAAGGAAAAGAAATTGATGGCACTTTAGAATTCCGATACAGCACAGAATTATGATTTTGCATCCTCTGTCTCCTCCAGAGCCTTACTAAGAATTACTAAGTAGGCAGATTGAATTTCTAAGCCAAAATCGGTCTCGAGTCACTAACTTTGGAGTGCTTAAAGTCTTTCTTTTATAGAGCATAAACTCTAATGGATCTAATTTATTTCAGACATCAAGGGTCATTAGCATATGGAAAGTCTTTTTTCCCTATCCCTGCCATATGCTTTAATTCCCAGGACATGTTCGGTGAGGCTCTAAACAGTTTTTTTATTTAATTATAGTAGCTTGCTGTTGATCTAATAGAGCTAAAGGAGACCTGTCGTCACCAGTCAGAGGTTAAATACCCATTTGCTGAGCAGAGTCCATGCAGAAAGCCCTCTTTCTGGATTTCCATGGAATTATTTTATCCTCTCTTTAATGCGCGTTCAATAGGAATTCCTCGGGGAGCAAAGAATTTGTCAGCAAACAGGAAACTGAGTGGCTTCTCTTCAAAATTATTAAAAAATCAATAAGGCCCCTGGGGTCATAGCATTATTTATTTGAAATCTTTGCAAGCCCTGTTTATCGACAAAATGATAACACAATTTACAGTTATATTTCTGAACGGCTAAATAAGAGAGATGGTTTCTTTAGTCTCGTCTTTCTGCAGCTTGTACAGCAAAGCACACTGAGGATGTTTGGCTTTAGAGGTGATCAGGGGAGTTGCTGAGAATCTCTCAGCCCCCTTCCATTTGCATGGGGAGCAAGGGAAAGGCTCTGAGTCCTGTTGGAGAGGGAAATGACAAAGCAAGGGTAAGTCACTGCCATGGATGGAATTAAGGTGGGTGCCAGAGAAGGAGTCCCCCTCTTCCTACTTTTGAAGGGAATCCCACAGTTCTCTCCATCTCCTCCATGCCTTGGGGCACACTGCGAGGAGCTTGCACAGCACTGGGCTCCTGCAGATGAAATAAAACTGGACTCCTGGCATGCACCTAATGCACAGGACCACATTATAGGCAGATCAGAGAAATAATCTCCAGCTCCCAGAAATGCTGAGATCGGTGCTCAGCATCTGTTGAGCTTTGCATATCTCATCCTGCTTGGCTGCGCCACTTGCTAATGAAGATACAGTCTGTCCCAACTGCAGACATAGACATACCTCCCCACAAAGTTTCCAGACATTAACTATCACGTAAATGCTACCTCAACTGAAATGCCAGAGCAAGAAGAGCTGCTTTCTGATGATGATGTTTTTTTTCTGAGGCATTATGGGATAAACTATACTGCCTGTAACATCTACTTAAAACTTTATCTCACCGCAATGATTCCAGCCTTACAATTGCTTTCAGAAATATTATGTTCTCACACTCATTTATTTTGTCTGTTGAGGCAAGCTCACTTACGTGTACTCTCAGCATGCACACTAAATCTTTTGTAATAACCGCTTCCCACTTCTACCAGTGCACTTGTGGCATCGGCCAAAAAAAGTCAGGCAGGCAACTTCTGAAGGCTTGAGTGAGTACTCAGCAAGTTGGAGCACGAATTTACCGTGAGCTGGTTACTCCCCAGTTATTCCCCAGGTGAATAATGAGGTGCATATTTAGTCCACCTAAATTCCAGCTGTTTCAGCTATAATCTTATGGCCAATATTTCCTATGGCAAGATGTCCCTGGAGAGCAGGGTTCAGCCAGAGGAGATGGAAGGTATAAAAACAAGGCTGAATTTAGGCTGGCTGCTTCTCTACATGCTCTTCAGCCTCATACTCAAATCTGCTGGGAGATCCCTGCATTTCCTGTGTCCCATTGTGTATTTTGGGGGGATCTGGCATAGGGTAACATACCTTAACCAATTCTGCATCACCTAAACTTGTGCAGAGCTTGCACTCCTTCATGCAGAGACAGAAAGGCCATTCCCCTTTCTTTCAGTTGCTTCTCAGCTGGCAGGTTTGGCATTTGAGGCTGCATGTCATTCCTGCCACACAGGAAGTGATTTGATGTCTGCCACTCAGGGTACAAAAAATGGCACCGCCTGGATTAGCTGTGAGTTTACTGACAGCCTTTTCTATTCCCAACAAAGTAGACATCCAAGTTCAAGTATTCTTAGGAAAGAAAGCAATTGTGGTCTCAAAATACACTAAAAGAAGCAGCAATCTCTCCATAGACTCTATTTGTAGCAAATACTTATTTGCCTCTGACAATTTTGCATGAATTCTCATACTGATAACTGCAGAGAACAGCCTCGCAGCTGCCAAAGATTGATACCAACTCCTTTACCAGAAACGCTTTGTGTCTGTATTCAAAGCACACCTATTACAAAGAAGAGGAAAAGACGAGGAAAATTTTTGCTTCCATTAATCTCACAAATTGACATACTTTATAAACGGCATTTGATTGTACCTTCCTGCGTGTACCACTACTGAGAGGCAACTTTCTGAGCAAACCTTTGCTGCTGGAAAAAAATGTTCTGAATAGAAGAAAGAAGGGGATGAAGGGAAGGGCCAAGGACATGAGATGCCATGCTGAGCTTTTAGTTGTGGGCATATCAATTACTTGCCAAGGGTCGAGTCATGTCTGAGCATGCTGGCCATGGATAGATAAATAGCCATCCATGCTGGAGACTGCAAAGTGCAAAGTCCTGGTCAAGGAGACAGCACTGCACAAGCTGGGCTGTGGTGGCCATAAGACCTCCCCTGGCTGAAGCAAGAGGACTCCTCACCTCAGGTTGGTTATTAAGCATCCCAGCCAAGCCGGGCCGTGCCATCAGTCTGCTGAACAGCACATCAAATGCCAGGTCCATTTGTGTTTGCAAATTAAGCACAATTGTAGGAGATGACTCAAACACGGCTACTATAGGCACCCTTTGCCATTTGGGCAGGCGCTTCTAGAATAAAACAATTTTTAGGCGGTCCTTTGTCATGAAAGAGTGTTCCAAAAGGGAGTGGCCTTGCCATGGCAATGGAAGGCTTGAGGCTGCACACAGCAGTGCTAGCTGCACAGAAGGCTGGTCCATAGCCACGCTCCCAGCACCACAGCACAGACACTGCTTTAGAAAATAGGCTTTCATACCAGTCCCCTTGACTACACCTTTGAACAATAAGAAGGGATGTTTTCATCGAATAATGATGCAAACCTGCTGGGATTAGTACCTGTAATAATGAAGAATGAGTCCCCTCTTCTCTTCAAAGTAACTGCAGTGAATAGACATATTTTTCATTTTTTTTAATTTTTTTTTCTCCCCTGTATCAACAACATTGCCTGGCAAAAACCTCAGGGACATCTACCAGGATCATCACATTTTTTAACGAGGGTAAATGTAGAAAGGTGCTGTTGGCTTTGACTCTAGGAAGGCTGCCGAGGCTGCTGACTCACATGCAGAGCAGCTGGCTTCACAGTGAGCTACTTGCTTTGAGAAAAAATAATTTAAGCTTCTTCCTACAGCTTGTTGGGAAATGTACATTTTCAAAGCAGCTTTTGATTTTTTGTTGTGTAACTTGCTGATGGATGAGTCAAATAGTAATAAACATACTTTACACTTGCATAGTCCCTTCTGTTTGAGGATCTCAGTGACTTACCAACACCGGTTATTTATTTCCTTCATTTTAGAAGTACTCCTCTCGATGTCATACGTGGAGAATCAGTGGGAGGCTTGGGCTATGCACAGAAATTGCACCAATGTAATTGCACATGAAATGTATTTATGAAAAAGTCTTTAATTAATTTGATGTTTCTCCATGCATTCTACTTTATATTCCACATTAAGCTTGTAAATACTTTTTTTTTTTTTTGCCCCTGTAAAAGTGCTTCTATTAAGTGTTAAAGGTGGACTTTTTTAACTCGAGTAATTACATAGGCAGAAATGCTTTGTACAAATGCAGCTATGTCATTATAAAGATGCATTCCCTAGGCATTGGCTATCTGCTTTCCATAAAGAATACCTACAGCAATTTAAGCACTTTTATACCAATGTAATACGCTGAAAGGATGAATATGTCAAAGGTCAGAGAACTGGAAAGAAAAACCAGTCTAATACTGGTACACAGAGAAGACTTCAGAGGCTTTTTATCAATTTAGCTTAACTCAATTTCTGTACCAGTCACACTTACACCGCTTTGGGAAATTGAGTCCATTTAACTAAATAGATTTTGAAGCTCATTTAATTAGTCTGGTGCTGTTTGCAAACACAAATGATCCCTAACCATTGGGAGCCCAGCCGGAGCATTCTGGTCCCATATGCCTTGCTCCAACCTTCTGGAAATCCATTTGTGCCAATAACCACAGGAGACTCAAAGGCACGTCATTGGGGTTCAACAGTCTTCAGAATATCTGAATGTGTGGGATCACCTGGTTTAGGTGGTTAGCTGTGACATAGTAGAACATCTCTTCATACAGCAAGAATTCAGCTGCTGCAATTTGCCTCAGGAAAAACCTGTCTGCCAAGGGATGGGGTAGGAATGAAGAATTTCAGACCTATGACAGATAATAATTGTGCAGAGATTATGGTGCTGACTCCTCTGAGTCAGAAATTGAAACAGATTGTCATCAAAAAGCCACCAAAACAACTTTTAAAAACTATTTCCAACTTCTCTCCCCACGGATGAATATACCTCTCAAAATATTTATGAGCATATACACACATGCATACTACACAAAGTGGGAATTCAGTATCATGACCATAGGCATCCTGAAATCCTGTGTCTGATTTTACCTGGAAAGCCATTGGCCAGGGAACTAGCTTATTTTAAAGACAACTTTGCTCCTTGTGGTGTGCAGGAGGTTACAGCTTCACACAGAGAGAATTTTGTAAGTGCCTCCCCTTTTTTGGTCCCTAATAGATTTTACCAGCTTTCTAGTCATACTGAAATTATATTA